AGAAGGGGCTTGTCTGGGCATCTCATTTCAGGGGCGATAGCCCCCGTCCTTTATCTGGTCACTCTGTAGTTATCACCTGGTGTTGTGTTTTGTTTCTCTTCCAGAGTGAAAGAATTGAAAAAGGCCAAGGAACTTGAAGACATACAGCAGCATCCCTTAGCAATGTGACATTGCTTCTCAGACTCTTTCCATTTCTGTTTTTAGCAGAGACATGCAACAACACACACACACACGCTTGTGCACACACACACACACACACACACACACACACATACAATCCCTCTGCAGTTCTGGGGAGTCAGCTGCAGGATTTTAACGAGAATGTTTGGTCGTTACATTTGCACTCTCATGGACAACTTTTAATTTGATCAGCAAGACATCTTGGAACTCAACTCTTCTGTTGAATCGCAGGAAAAACAAGACACCAGGAGGAACTTGGAAGGGCTTCGTCTTAGGAGGAAGCCGCCTTCCTTGTCACTAGGGCTGTATTCAAACATCGTGTGGAACTGTACAAATATTTATACCAAAAATATAGATAAGAACAGGCGGGGCGACGTCAGCCACACAAGGAGCGCTGCGCCTGCACCTGCGGTGACTTCCAAGAAGCTGAATCCTTGGTTCTCAGTGGAGGGCTTAGATCACCCGAGTCGTTCGAGTCCGCCTGTCCTCATCTCCTTCACCGTTCGCTTTTGAGTTTCTGTTTCGCTTTTTTTTTTTTCCTTCTTTCCGTCCGTCGGTTTGTTCGTCCGTCCATTTGAATCTCTACAGCACACTTAATGCAACTTTTAAAATCTGCAGGTTTTTAATGTCTTGTGAAAATTTGCAGAGGGGTGGGTGTGTGGTAAACGGGTAATGCACGGGAAATAATGAGAAACAGCTTACAGGATTTAAATTCATTTTCTTGCTCCCCCACCACCTCCCAGGAACCTGCAAGGGTAGTGACCATCCTGTCCCTTCTCATGGTCAGCACTTTAGTTTGTCTGCCCCACTCTCTTGCAGTGAGGATTACTTAAGACTTGGTAACGCATGTAGCCTTTTTTAGTAACCTTGGAAACCGTAGTAATACCAAGGGATCATAAACCTTGCCTGGACATTTGCCACCTAAACGACCAGTGTGGTGCTGCATTCTGGCCAGTAAATTCCATGTTTTGGCTCTATCTCATCCAAACAGAGTGGTTTCTGTGTACATACAAAAGGTAGAAATGAGGAAAAAAAAAAGTGAGAAAATATTTGAAAGGGGTTATAGTAATTGCTAAATATTTTATTCACAGAGGTCAATAACATGGCAAGATGAAATTATTTGTATAGTTTTGTCCAAATGAGCGAGAACAATGTGGATGTATTGTTTGTATATATTGTATATATTAAAACAAAGATGTGCATGAAACCAAGAAAAAGAACAAAAGCAAAGCATTAGTGGCTATGGTCTGTAAAATGAAACAAAAACTTTATTTCACTATAAGAGTACTTTATTTTAAATGTTCTGTAGAAGAACATTTTGCTAAAGCATGACCTGCAAAAAATAAAAAGGAGCTACTGTATTTAGACTTAGGAAAAGAGGCAGAGTAGCATTACTTTAAAAAAAGAAAAAAAAGGATATGTTTACATTTAATTTTGCCTATCAGGAGTTTATTTTATTTTATTTAAAAGAAAATTTTTTTGCCAAAGGTGCCAAGTAATGTGAATGCTAATATTGCTTACGAAAATTAAGTTACTTTTGCAAACTAGATAATCATAAGATGAATCCTTAGAGACCTTAACACCATCCACTCACACCAACAAAGAACATTAGGATGATCAACGTTTAACAACAACAACAACAAAAATTAGGACAAAATGAGAAAAACAACACGTTTTCATATCTCCTGCTGGAAATATAAATTTTAGAAAAATCTAATAAAAATTGCTCACGTGGCGAAACATGGTGGAGATTGGTGTTGACGGAAGGGTGCCATGGTACAGTACTTTCCAGGTAATGAGGAGCCAAAGAAATCCGATGCTTTCAAAGCTAACCTATGAGAGAACCAATTTTGCATTGCTAATGCCAGTTTAAAATTCCCAGGTTAAGTGTGAGAATCGGTTGGTATGAGATTTTCTTTTTTTTTTTTTTTTAAAAAAAAAAAACAAAAAAACCAACATGGTTCTGGCTGCCAACCGTGAGTTAAAACTCAAGGCTTGTTGTGAAGCCTAAAAATATTCACAAATGAGCTTTAAGCTGGTGTCTTCAGAAGGAAGGTAGAAACAAAAGGATTGTGGTGAAAAAAAAAACTGGGGTCAGTGCTCTCGGTGCCTTTTCTATAATTGTACTTGTTTTTTAATTACTTCCTTTCACTGCCAACCTCAAATTACTGTACAGTACATGTCTTTCTGCTTGTGATCAGCTTGGAACAGCGACAGCCCCACAGCTAGGAGCCACCTGTACATTTGTAAGCTGACCCGACCTGATTTTGTTTTTACACGTGTGGGTTATGTTGCAGCTGTTGCAATCCTCGAACCCCCCGCCCCTCCCCCCCATACCTATTATTTTACACGATTTGGCCTGTCCTGAGGACACTGAGTAATTTACATAAACAATTGTATTCATACCGGAATAGAATGTAAAGCCAGCTCTTTCAGAATATCCTATCTCAGTCATGGATTTGGATACATTTTACTCCATTGCTTTTGGTTCAGATGACTGATCGTTTGACCAGAGCGATGACCTCAGTGGATTTGCTTCAACCCTCACGTTTATTTTTTTTAAATGTTTCACATGCCACATCATTAGCGGAATAAGTTAGAAAACTCTGTAGAGACTTATAAAGAATTAGGAAACTCTTATGGAGGGGATAGAAGTAGGGTCAAAACCTACCAGTACAACTGTGAATTCTAGGTGAGGTCGAAGCATACTTCCACTGACACAAAGCATTTCTGACCACCTTTTTTGATTGTGACTCTTAATTTTGAATATAAGGTGATAGGTAGGCGCAGCTTTCTTGGATAATCTGAATTCCCAAGTGCCAGGAGTAGGATTTCATGATAAAATTAATAGCTAATCTTATTCTGTCTCCTGAAGATTTAATTGCTATCCTTGTTACCCATTCAAAATCAGCTGTACTGTGTGAATGAAATAAAGACATTAAGACGAACCCCTTTCTGGCTGCACGGTCGCTTATGGCAGTTCCACACAGTAGTTGGCGCCCAACGGGGGGTCCCTGAGACTTGCATGTAAAACTAGTCTAGATGTCTTCTTTTTTGTAAGTTTTATTTTTGTAATTGTGCATGTAAAGCATCATTGAGTCAATGGATCTGTTGAAGAACTCAGCTGCTGGAAACCATGCAAAATGTTTTGAATTGCCCTTAAAAATATGGAAAATGTTTTCTGAATGCTTTATATTCTTTCTGCTGTAAATTAAAAATGAAGAAAATTTCCCCATATTATCTGTGTTTTGCTTTAACCTGACATGAAATCCAAGGTGCTGAGGGTGAGGTCATAGAACTGAAATTTTAATTTATTTTTATTTATTTTTTTATTTTTTACTTTCCACATGCAGTGTTCTCCCCACCCAGCACTTCACTCCCAAAGCACTTGCTTTTCACCTACCTTGCCTCGTTCCTCAACACATGGATTTATCCTAAATGCAGTTACTTAGAAGATAAGGATCTCAATTTTAAATTAACCCTTCTCATGTAGCTCAGAGTACCCAGGAATTCCCAAGGCTTAGGTTTAAAGATGACCTTGAACCTCTTAACCTTTTACCTAAAGCTTTTGTTGAGATCATGGGTGTGCCAACAGGCTGGGTCTTTATGTGGTTCTGGGGATCAGACCCAGGACATGTTAGACAAGTACTCTGCCAACTTAGCTACACTCTTCAACTCAAAAAAAAAAAAAAAAAAAAAAAAAAGACCCTTTCCAGCTTACCTCACAAAGGTCTCGCTGCTAGGGGTTCTTCATCACTGTTCCAGTCCTCTTCAATGCAGAGTTCTGTTATCTCTCTGGGAGTACTTCACTTCTGATCTACCTCAGAACTAGTGCCAGTTTCACACTTTGAACCTCCCACCGGGAGCCCACTGCATTTTCTGTTCATTCCTGTTTATTTAAACCCAGCCCCACGCTCTCCAGCTGTTCTGTGCCCAGTATCTCCATTTCCACCTACCCAGAATGTTTTTTATAGCTACTACTCTACCTAGTACCCACTGAAGTGGCGCTCTTCATTGCAATACACACACACCTTTGGGAGTTACCATGCTGAAGTGGAAAATATGTTGTGTATTTCACTTAGAGAACCCAACTGAGCTTAGTCTGTTTAAGAGACCGGATACTTTTCCACTTATATTACTCGCCCCTTTGAACAAAAGTTGAGTATCTCTTCTCTGGTAGGGCCAGGGAATTACAAAAATGAAGAAACTTACAGTTCTCAAAGCCAAGGCTTCCTTCGGGGTTGTAATAGCGTGCAATGGCAAATATTTGTCATGTGAGAACCTGAGAGGGGACCTCTCCCAAACCCTGTGGTCAAGACCCCAAATGGACTTCCTATCGCCTTTTAACTTTCTCAGAAAAGAACGTTGTCTCCTCAGGACCACTAGATTATTCTGGAACGTTAGGCACGTCCGCTGTTTCTAACATTGTCACGACCCAGACAGAGACAAGGTATGCGGGCTCAAAGAAATGTAAAACGTACCCATTCTCACTCTGAACTGCCTTTCCAGGGCTAGACACAGGGCAGCGGAGACACTGCAGGAAGCTGCTGGGATTCCTTGGCAGCGGAAGAGCCCAGCCCAAAGGCGCAGGCGCCCGCGCTCTCGCCCCGCCCACTTGTCCACCGACAACGCCGCCCACAAGTCAGCGCCAGCGCTACTTCAGCGCAAGCTCTGGCCCCTCCCACTCGGGTCAGCCCGGAGTTTACAACTCCCGTTGCGCCCGGCCTGCCTCCTGTCCCGCCCATTTCCGGCGCGCCCTCGGCGGCTGAGAGCGCATCGCCGGTTCCGGTCCGGCCCCTGCTCGTGACGTCACCGCAGCCCCGCCCATCTCTTCAGCCTCGGTTGCCTGCAGAGCAAGTCCACCGACCCTCGGCCCTTCGCCGCCGTCGCCAAAATGTGAGTGACGCTCTGCGCTGCGAGGCGAGGCGGGCTCCGGGGGGCGGCGGCCCACTCCTGGGACCCGCTTCAGGCTCGGTGGCCGCTGCTCGGCACTCGGACTCGAGTGGAGGCCTCGCGGGCCTACGTGCAGTGTCCCGGGGCCTGAGGTGGGCGGCGGCCCGGCGGTGCACTCTGCCCCCGGACGCTGCGGGATGAGTCGTGGCGCCGCGACGTCCCCGAGTGCCCCGCGGCCGGCGGGCAGACGCGGAAGGGCGGGGGTGGGGGCACCGGCTGACCGAGGAAGCGGCCGCCACACCCCGCGGCTTCTTCCTGGAGAGGGGCGGGGGCGGCCGTGAGCGCTCGCTCTCTGCGAGGCGGTGCTAACAGGAGCACCGGAGGAGGATCGGGAGCTGGCCGGGAGCTGAGGCCCAGGCGGAGTTAGACCAGCGACTGGCGTCCTCAGAGGAGCTGTCCCGGTCCCAGCGCATCTTGGCAATGGGTTTTGCTTCCGTTTTAAGCAAGAACACTCTTATTTTAAAATTGATTTCTAATAGTAACCTTCAGCGGGAATTGATGTCTAACCTTCCACTAAAAGTTGTCACCACTTAACGATGTATCTGGTCAGACTGCTGTGCAAATGGCAGTGTCCGGTCCACATGCAAGAGAGTTAAACTGGTTCACTTCAGCCATCTGCATGTTTCATCCTAAGTTTTAATAAGATGAGAAGGATAGTGGTATCCTCTTCAGAGAGTTATTAGGCTTCAAAGAGAAAAAAAAAATACATGGATAGTGCTTCCAGAGCACGGTCCTTACCTGTTTAACTTTCGGACCCTGAGTTCTGTGAGACAGCCATCATCAGTATTGTGTCCTTGGTGGTGGACACAGTGCAGACTTAAAAAGAACTGTTGTCAACCCTAGGGTGACAGTTGTGAGGGAAGGCACAGGTTGGGCGCTGTCTTAGATACAGACAAGAATTTAATGGAGGCAATAAGGACTTAAAAGACAGCATACTTGCCGGGCGGTGGTGTTGCACGCCTTTAATCCCAGCACTTGGGAGGCAGAGGCAGGCAGATTTCTGAGTTCGAAGCCTGCCTGGTCTACAGAGTGAGTTCCAGGACAGCCAGGGCTACACAGAGAAACCCTGTCTCGAAAAAAACAAATTCATTGACCTCTGGGAGACTTTCCAACAGAGACAGTTGCTTCAGCCACCTTCCCTGTCACACAGACCTCGCTGGGTACTTTGAATCTACTTCTCCATGTTGGCTGTTCTGTGATTGCTCTTAAGTATAAGACAGTTCTTGCCACAACAAAAAAAAATCAGGAGACTACTGAGTGCTTTAAACATCTGTATGTCTTAAAGCAAGTTTAAAAAAACTTTACTGACACAGAACAGGTCTTGCTAAACATTTGTTTCAGACTTTGTTCACTATCAAGAGATATAGTCTTAAGAATTATTGGGGGATTATAAAAATAAAGGCACATTAGTGCCTTTATTTCTTACTGCAGGACTTTTAAGAAATAATTGCAGTATAAGGAGTTAAGACTGAGTCTCAGCACAACAGTATACACACAAACATGCCATGGTTATGTGAGAGCAGAGAACATCTCACATGTCAATCATTGCTTTCCATTTATTGGAGACAGCGTCTCTTGTTCAGTGCCGCACGTATCAGGTGAGCTAGCCTTCAGGCTTCCGAGATTCCCATGTGTCCCCCTCCCATGTGGTGATGGGATAGGAGCTTAGGTATTCCATGGTTTGCCTCATCATAATGCACTCATGCTTGTGACTTTATACCTTTCAGGTCTACAGGTGTGCCTTCAGGGTCCAGTGCTGCCACTGGCAGTAATCGAAGACTCCAGCAGACACAAAATCAAGTCGATGAGGTATTGCTCTGCAGTTTTAAATGTGACTTTAAACAAACATGGGAATTCTCTAGGATCTCATTTAGAAAAAGAGTCATTGGATCTAGAAAGATGTCTTGGGGTTAAAGTTCTAGCAGAGGATCCATCTGGGTTCCAAGCACTCTCATTTGGACCACGAAACTGCCTGTAACTCCCAACAAGGCAAGGGTGCCTGCGTGCACCTGCACACACCCACACACAGACACATGGAATTCATTTTTTTAGACATTAGGAAAAAAATCATCATCGGTGTGTGAGCATAAATTTTGACTATATCAGAAGTCGTCTTTCTAAAGATGTATTTGCAGGGCGATAGTAAAGATTCTGTGAGAAACTCAGACCAATATTTCCATATTCTTTTTATTAAGATTTAAGTGAATGAGTTTTTTGGCTATATGTATGTGTACTCTGTGTGTGTGTTTGTATGTGTGTTTTTATGCACACACATGTGTGTAGTTTCTGCAGAGGCCAGAAGAAGACTCTTGGAACTAGAGTAACAGAAGGTTTTCGGCTGCTTTATTGGTGCTGGGAACTAAACCCAGGTTGAACTATATCCCTACTCATATACATACATATTATATACATACATACATATCTCCTAGACAGGGTTTCTTTGTGTAGTCCTGGCTGTCCTGGAACTTGCATTGTAAACCAGGCTGGCCTCAAACTTAGATCCACCTGCCTCTGCCTCCCAAGTGCTGGGGTTATAGGCGTTTGCTACCACCGATGACCTGGCACAATCATTCTGCTTTTATCTATCCTGAAACAAGTTACCTTAGATACTATTATTGAATCATACAGTAAGATTTTGCTATGATGGTTTCTTTATGAACTTAATTCTGAACATTTTAGACTTTTACACTAATTTTAAAAACTCAAATTCTATCCTTTTTAGAAATTAAAGAAATTTTAAAAAGAATATAGTTTTTGTTCTTTGAGGAGAAATCCCTGTAACATACAATTAAGCGTTTTTAAGGTCTGTCACTTAGTGTATAACATGTTTAGAATATTCAGTGGGTTGCACAGTCATCATCTTTCTGCTTTCAGAACTCTTCGTCTTTACTGAGAAGTATCCTGAACTCATTTCACAGTCACTCGCCCCTCAGTCTCCTAGTTACCTGATAACCTGTAGTCAGCTGTTCCTTCAGGTTTGCCTATTCCAGGTGTAGCATGTGCCAGGGACAGTGTTAGGTTTCTCCTCCGTGTGCTTCATGGTCATGGAGTTGTAGTCTGTGCTGGCTCCTTGTTCCTCTTTTGGCTGAGTGATCCTTTGTGATCTGAGTAAAGCATGCTTTGTTATCTCTTCATACTTAATGGGTAACTGAGCTCTTCTGACCTCTCTGCTGATATAATGTTGCTGTAAATATCCAGGAGCCAGATCTTAAATGTTCATTTCTGTTTCATTTGGGTGTGGGCCTTCCTGCTTTGTACAGTAGTTGTTTGGCAGTTGAGCCTGTGGTTCCCTATAGTAGCTTAGTTTCTGGCAGCAGTGTCCACTGTCCTGGTGCTCTTGAGTTTGGCGCTGCAGCCATCAGCAAGCAGGAGGTGGTATCTCCTTGTGGTTTTGAATTAATTAATGATTTGATTAATGATTAGTGACAGTGAACACCTTTCTAGTGTGTATTGGCCATCTGTGTGTCTCTGAAGCAGTGAGTGACTATTCAAGTCCTTTACCCCTTTTTATGTTACTACAGGGTTTTTTGTTTGTTTGTTTTGTTTTGTTTTGTATTTTTTCCAGAGACAGGGTTTTATTATATATAACCCAGGCTATTGCTGAACTTAAGATCCTCTTGTCTCAGCCTCCCAAGTTCCAGGGTTACAGTTATGTTTCTCACACATACTTCTTTTGCAAATGTTCTTATTGTACTGTCTTTCTGTCGTTAACTTGTGAGGCTCTTCTATGTATTTACATCTTTTTAGATGTATTTTTCACTTCTAACATTTACCAGGTACGTAGTTCATAAGTATTTCCATCTTCCGGGTTGGTTGAGTTTCACGATCTTCATAGTATACTTTGATGCCAGAAGGTTTTCCTTTTTATAAAGCCCAACTTATCTCTTTAAGTTACTTGATTTTTTTTTCTTTTGTTGCTCTGGCCTTTGATATCAAATCTAAGAGGCCAGAGCCAAACCTGAAGCTGTGTGCTGGCTAGTTTTATGTCAGCTCAACACCAGCTAGGGTTATTTTAGAAGAGGGAACTTCCGTTGAGAAAATACCCCACCTAATTTGCCTGTGGGCAAGCATTTCCTTGATTGAGGATTGACATGGGATACCCAGCTTACTCTTGTGTGGTGCCACCCTGGGAAAGTTGTCATGAATGATGTAAGAAAACAGGCCAGATAAGCCATGGGGCCAAGCCCATAAGCTGCATTCTCCGTGACATCTGTGTTACCAGTTTCTGCCTCACCTTCCCTGGACTACAAACTGTAAGATGAAATAAACCTTTTTGGCCTGAAAAAAGCTTTACTTTTTTTTCTACTGAGAGTTTTTATAGTCTTAGCACTTAAACTTAGCTCCCTGCTCTATTCCTTCCATATGGTTACTTAGGTATGCACTATTTGTTGAAAAGCATATTCTTTCTCCATGTGCTGGTCTTAGCATCCTTTTGAAAGTTAGTTGGCAGGTGATAAGTGATGCTCAGTGGTGGTGCACTTGGCTAACCTATACAAGCCTCGCTGGCACCAGAATGGATCAACCAATAAATTAACCAGTTCGATTTTCTATAACTGTGTAAGCAGATTTCCGGGTTCTCAGTTCTTTCTCACGGGTCTTGATCTTCCCCTGTGCCAGCGCCACAGTTCTGATTATTCTAGCTTTGTGGTGAGCTTTGAAATGACTATTAGAACTCTTTCTTTTAGTATTGGTTTACTTATTCTCAGTTCTTCTTTGAGCTTACATATGAAAAAAGTCACAGGAGTGGGAATTACATGACAGTCTTTCTTAGGGAAACAGAGCTGTTGGGATTATATTGACTCTGTAGGTCACTGTAGGAGTACTGCCATTTCTACAGTATTAAGTCTTCCAATGTGCCAACATAGATGTCTTCTCTCTCTCTCTCTCTCTCTCTCTCTCTCTCCCTCTCCCTCTCCCTCTCCCTCTCCCTCTCCCTCTCCCTCTCCCTCTCCCTCTCCCTCTGTGTGTGTGTGTGTGTGTGTGTGTTGCCTTAGCCTCCCAAATAGCAGGTATGTGCTACTGTGCCCATCTTAAAGCAGTGTTCTGTATTGTTTTGGCTTCTCTTTTATGAGTGAGTGTAGCATATGTATGTGTGTACACAATGGTGGTCAGAGGTCAAAATCAGGGATTTTCTTCTATTTTCTTTACACCTTAATTTTTGAGACAGGGTCCTACACCCATAGCATATGAGAACCCATAGCTCATCTGTTGACTGAACTAGTTAGCCAGTGAGTCTCTGGGATCCTGCTTTACCTGCCTACCCCAGTGCTGCGGTTACAGGAGCAGACTGCCACGCCTGTTTTTTTCAGTGAGCATTGCATATCCAAACTCAGGTCCTCGTGTTTGCGCAGCAAGCCCTTTATCCACTGAACTACCTACTCAGTCCGATGTAGAGTTTCTTTATTCTGCAAGATTTCCAGCTACTTAATTAAATATGTTGCTTGTAATTTTATTTTGAGTTTTTTGGTAAAGACACTGTTCTCTTAATGTTCCTTTTGGATTGCTCATTACTAGCATGTAGAAAAGCAACTGGTAAGTGTTTATACTCGATGCTGAAACTTGACTGAATTTATTCATTGTAGATTTTGAAAAATTCTATTAAATATTTTTATTTAGTGCGTGTGTGCGTGCGTGTGTGCGTGCGTGCGTGTGTGCGTGCGTGCGTGCGTGCGTGCGTGCGTGCGTGCGTGTGTGTGTGTGTGTGTATGTGTGTGTACTGAAGAGGTAAGGTACTTCAGCAGGCACAGGTATGCTATGGCATATGTGTTGGAGGTCAAAGGACAATTTTCTTGGAGTTGGTCCTCTTCCACCTTGTTAAGCCGCTGTCTCTCTTGTTTCTGCCATGCTTTGCTGTAAAATGCAGGCTAACTGGCCCATAACGATCTTGCCGTAAGAGTGTAGGGATTACTGATGGGCATAGTGTTTGGCTCTAAAAATAATTGGTGGTGGGAACACACAGTACATCCACCACATCCAGAGGTCAGAGGACAACTTGCAGGAGTCAGTTTTCTCTTTGCACCATGTGGGTCCCAGGGATTGAACTCAGGTCATTGGATTTGATGACACAAATTTTTACCTGACGAGTCATCTCTCCAGCCTCCTGTGAAGGAATCGTAAGGGTTTTCTGTAGAATTTCTTACATGTGGCATAGATAGTTGTACTCCTCGTTTCCAACCCGTTTTCTCCCTTGACTAGTTGCCCTGACCAGGACTGCCATCGTAGTGAACAGCCATGACACTGAAGCACTCCGCTGTTCTGCTTAAGATCTTAGGAGCTGAGTCTCTCACATAGCATGTGATACTAATGTGGGTTTCCCTATGAGTGCCCAGTATTGAAGTTCCCTTTTATTCCTGGTTTGCTGTGTGGATTTACCACAAAGGCCTGGGCCTCCTTTTTAAGTGAAAGTTTAGCTCAACATAATAAAGTACTGATCTGGAAAAACTACAAAGTGCCCATAGACTCCTGTGGAGCTTTGTTCTTCCTCTCTTTTTTTTGTGTAACTGTGATTATGTCCATTCAGGTGGTTGACATCATGAGAGTCAATGTGGACAAGGTGTTAGAAAGAGACCAGAAGCTCTCGGAGCTGGATGACCGTGCAGATGCACTGCAGGCAGGTGCCTCGCAGTTTGAAACAAGTGCTGCCAAGTTGAAGAGAAAGTACTGGTGGAAGAACTGCAAGGTAATGCTCTCTTGACAGACCTTCACAGCAGTCCCTCTGCATTCCCCGAGTGTTGCACAGGCACAGCATTGCATGTGGTGACTCTGGGTACTGGGTAGAATCTGTGCCAGCTGTGAGTCTACATCCCTTTCCTTGCCCACAGCTGGGAATCTAATCCCATGTTTTATGGCTAAAGTTAAAAGACATGCAGAATCAGACTGCCCAAAGCAGTCACTGGTGCTAGACTGCAGCCCAGGTACCTGAGAACACACTGATGGGGTGTTGGCTTTGATGCTCAGTTTGCTGCCCATTCTGGGAATGGCTCCAATTTCAAAAATTAAATGCTAGGAAATCCCACCTTGTTCAACAAGAGGAGAAAGCAACACATGAATATCATCCAATCAGACTTAGCAAATGAGACTGTCTGTGATCAGAGCTCAGATACTTCCTGTCATGCCTTGTTTAGAAGGGACACACTAAGATAATGGGACAAGATCAGGAGCCTGTGTGGAAGGAAATGTGTCTCTTTCCAGGGGCCACAGAGGATAGGAATACACTTCTGAAAGCCCATAACTAACTTCAGGCCTTAACTGAAAATTTAAAATTTAGGCTTTAGAAATGATATAAATTATTCCCACTGTGGTTGTTGTGCCCTGTCTATTTTGCAATGTTGAATGGATCTGTCTTGTTGCAGATGTGGGCGATAGGGATCAGTGTCCTGGTGATTATTGTCATCATCATTATCGGTGAGTTACCATGGTTATAGATGTTCGTCTGTGCAGCAGCAAAGAATGGATTCAGTCCAAGGTTTAAATACTGTTCTTTACCAAGTATTTTGAATACTTGAGGGTGTTTTGAGATGGTGATATTGAGGAAAATTTGAGGCAGAATCTCAGTGTTCAACCCAGGCTAACCTTTAACTTGTAATCCTCCTGCCTCAACATTTCCTTCTTTTTTTTAAAATTTTTTTTTATATATATAATTCATTTTTTTTTCAAATTGTAATTTATACTCATTCACACAGGGGTTTCAAACACAAAAAGACAGGATGTGGGGAAGGGGATGACACTGGAGCGTGGGTGTTCAGGGGGAATACAAATATTTTTCAGAACAGGGTATTAGCTAGGTGAAGGTTCAGGGTATAGGTCACTATGACTCTGCCTATGATTCACTTGTCCTTATCTAAGTTGGTAATATCTGCCAAGGCTACCTATTTACAAGGTCTATGACTACTCAGGCTGGTAAAATGTCACAAAAACTGCCTGTTTACAATAGCTTATAGCCATCGGTTTCAATGTTTTCCCACAGAGACCCAAGACTTGGTGTTAGTATACATGTATGACGGGCCAATTGCTGATTTTAGGCCTATGGCTGATTTTAGGCCTTTAGTGTGTAAGCAGGGCTGCCCCTGACATCACCTCCCTTCTCTAAGTATAGAAGGGCTGTGGTGATTCTAATCTTGTGAAGGCGGGGATAGAGGCCTGACCTCCAGTAATTGAAGGGGACTTTGTAATGGCTCCGGTCCCCCTGTTGTTGTCCAGTGAGGCATGAGGGCCATACCCGTCCCGATGTCTTTTTCCTGGAGAGGGGATACTTTTGACATCAACCCCTATGCAGTCAGGCTTGTCCCTCAGGGAACCCAGAGAGATATTTTTAACTTTTATTGATATTCCCTTGCAGTGCTTAGCCTCGCAGCCTAAGCAAGAATTCAGATTGCCTGTCAGAGGGGGTTCTGGGTGGCCCCTCTGCCTAGGGGTGGAAGTCCCCTCTTTTAGGTTGGGTGGAGATGGGTTTTGGGAACACCCTGGATAAGATAACAACCTCATCTTGAGTCTCGTGGTCCTCCATAGCTAGCTTATGATAATGTATATGAGTAGGTTTTGCTACCAAATTATTTATGTGTTATTTCACAGAGTTAGTCCGCCTATTTGAGTGAGGGCCAGGGACCAGAAGAAATAAGCAAAAAGAACCCAAATAATGGTCCCAAGATGAGAGGAGGTAGGGTTGACAACCCTGAAGAGGTTGAAAACCAATTCTTGTACCAGCACTCATCTTTCTCTTCCTCTCTCTAACTTTTCTCAGGGCCTTCTCTGACCTTTATCATGCTCTCTTTAACCATCCCTGTCTTGTCTATGTAAAGGCAATATTCTTCTTTAAGGGCTGTACACAGTCAAGAGCTGTACACAGCCTTTTCTATTGTAATAGAGTAAATCAAGTCCAATAAGGATCTTTGCGATTTTTGGAGGTCTCTTCAGGCAGCGAAACGAGGGATTTCTTCAGATTAGTGATGTCAATCTCTAGCTGTTTGACGTTCTTGTTAATGGCCCTTCGAAGGTCTGAGTAGTATAAGTTCGGAGGCCAGCATCTGGATTAGAACTTCTAACAGCAGACATCACGGGTGATTCATTTTTACCTGGAAAGGAAAACGAAGGAAATTCTCAGGGAGATTTCTCTTCCCTGGATGTAAATTGTTATTCATTTTATTTATGGTTGGGCCTGGCTTTGTGGGGGTATCTATTTATTTCATTAATCTTTTTTGTAGCCAATTAGCTGTGCCTTCTGTGGTATCAAACAGGCATATCAATCCTCAGTCCCATAAGGGAACTGGGTCTGAGCTATTCCCTTTAAGGGTAAGAGGGTCCTTCCCCATAGCTGTGGCATAGTTTTTATTGGTCTCGGTGATGCCAGAGGCAGTCAGCAGCAGATTTGCCATGAGCTTTCAGTTTTAGCTGCCTCAACATTTCAAGTGCTAGAATTGTAGGCATGTGCCACCAAACTCATCCTAAATATTTGAGTTTTTGTAATTAAAGTCTGGTGTTTTGTTTAGATAGGTAGATGGATGGATGGATGGATGGATGCATTCATCCTTTAAGAATAACAAATCTCATTCCTACTGTCTGGTCAATTTTTTCTCCTATGCAGTTTTAGTCTGTTTCCTTTCGTGGGATGCAGTGATTAGCTGAGACTGCCTTGATCCATCCCAGCTCTACCACCTGTGGTAGAGGCTCTGTGGCCTTGGACAAACAGTTGGGTCTGTCTGGACCTCAGTGTCCTCATGAATAAAATGAAGCTAGTAATGGTTTCCACCTTGTGTTGTTAGGACAAACCTGGTTACTACATAAGAAAATACCTGGCATAGGAGAACAGAAAATAATTATGTAAATAGTGTATATAGATAGCACATAGCTACTACTCCCTTGCAGCTGTGTATCAGAACTCGTTCTATTTCCAGTCCACTCTATGGGAACGTCCTAGCAAAGCATGCCTTTCTTTGCTAGTTCATGTTAGTGGGTATTTCCTTTTCCTCTTTTGATTTTAGTTTTCCCCAGAACCCTGTAGCATGTAAAGAAGCTACCAGTAGAAAATTGGCCAAATCAATTTCTCTTTGTCCCTGTTTAAACAGTAGAAATCCCTACTGAGTATCTACACAGAAAGACTAAACTGCCCTTTTCATTGTTTCTAAATTTTTCCTGCCTCTTAGTGTGGTGTGTCTCTTAATGAAGAACAGACGAAATTGAAGCCTGCTATTCAGGATCTTCTTCGAGACTTTCTACTTAGAACCTGCTGTATTATCGAGCTTACCTATTTTTTTTTCAAATGATTATTTTTGTTAGTTTATATACAGTTTAGTGCCTAGAAAATGTGCCTTTGTTTTTCATATACACTCCAAACTGGAAGTGTGGCCTACCCTGCCCACAATTTGCACAGTGCCTTTACAGATTTATGGACTGGGAAAAAAGACTTGTGTGTTTCATAGTGCTCAAATCTAGGTGGATGTTGTCACTGATGACTTGTGGATTCCAGGAAGGGGATTTTGTTCAAGTCAGCTGTCCCCACATCTGACATTGTCTTCAAACCCACATTTTGGTAATTAGATTCTCCCAACTTGGACCTTCCAAGAAGAACACTACTGCCTAACAAAAATCGGTGACAATAGTAGGGTGTGCCTTATTTTGATAACTAGGTAACTTTTCATTAAGAGTGCCCTCCGTTTGTAAGCACTACTGAGCGCTGTATTTAAGATGCGGGTGCAGAGCTCGTGCTCTCGTGTTAGACAGGGAAATGTTGACTCTCTTGTTCTTGTTGTGTATCTCTTCTAAAATAGTATTTTAATCAGAAAGAAACCCTTTAAGAAGTTTTTACAGAACTATGACCAAAGTTTCTATTTTGCCAAAAGTTAAATACAAATAAATTGTTCATAAGTGTGTCCCTAATAGATAAATTCAAATAAGTGCCAAATGTAACTCAAGGTGCCCTTTAAGAAAAAATGTTAATACTGTGTGAGCCTTCAACATCTTGACAGTCCTTCCTATGGAATGCTGTAGCTAAGGCTATTCATTCTGATTTGGTCTCTTTCCTAGAGCTATAGAGGTGAGCTCCCATCACACCTATAGACAAGATACTGTTCGCAGACTGAACTAGGCTGTGGCCTCTAGTGTGATGTGAGCAGCAGCTGTGCAGCCTCACGAAGGCATCAGTCTGCACAGAGAGTTCTAGAAGACTATTTACTGCTTTTATGCATGCTCTATATTATGCTTGAGGTGAGACATCGGTCACTCCTAGAGGATAGCTAACCAGAGATGCCTGTTGCTCTTAGGATGTAGCCATTGCTGTCTGAGACAGTTTCGTTGTCTATATGAGACTTTCATCAAGGTTTGGTTCAAAGATGAGAGTTCAGACAGCATGAAATTGAGGAAGTGGTGAAGGGCAAGCTGCTTGCCTGTGGCAGTGCCACTAGAATCTCCTGAAATCTGTGTTTGTGTGCAAAACAGCATTAGTCAAGATGCCATAGACTCTGGTTCTGGTTTTTTATCTGTTCCCCTAACATTACTGAAACAATACAAATGTTGAAGACATGCCTTGCCGCATCAGCCTAGGGCCTCTGTCCTGGTCTGACCCCACAATTTTGGTGCTGTCTCCTCATACTCTGTCCCACGTAATGCATTGGCTCCTGTATTAACACAGTAATACCTCGCTTCTCTGTGCATTTAGCTGGGAACGTTCCAGCTATGTTGACCGGAATAAAGTTGTTTATTAACATGATCCTGTGTCTTGTTTCTTGGAGTGGGGGATACACCTGATGCGTATCCTAAACCTCTGACCCTTGATGGTACCCCCACCCCCTGACAAACTACCCTTTTTCTTATCCATTCTCCTAGGAAGGAGCTCATATTCCATGGGTAGATGTAGCTCCCACCCTGTGTTAGGGTTCTCTAGAGCAACAGAACTGATGAATATATATTTGAAAAGGATTTTTAGATCGACTGATGTGATATGGTCTACCTCACACTGAAGAGGCTGAGAACCTGATAGCTGCTTAGTCCATGAGGTTGTTCCCATCTGGCAATGCGGGCCTGGAGGATTCCTGGAAACCCTCTGGTGTTGAGCCCATGTGGAAGCCTATGATAACATGTTGAGTTCTGGTAACTGCAGAGTGCAGCAACAGCAGGGTAGATTAACTCACCTGTGAATCAGGGTTTCCAGGCAAAAAGCAGAGCTTCCTTCTCCCATCTTTTTCTGGGCTGCTACCAAAAGTTGCTGCCTCCATTTAGGGTATGTCTTCCCCCCTTCACATATCCGAGCAGGGAAATCCATCGGGAATACCTGGCAGGCTGCCTTCAGTTGACTCCACATCCAACAAAGTTGACAACTGGAATTGACCATCACATACCTTAAATGAAAGTGCTTTTCAGAGCAGAGAGGAGTCAGCTGACTTGCAGTTACCAGACCAGTCAGGATTTGGCCACTGGATTTCTAAAATATGGTCTACTGGAAATGCTATAGAGCTGATCCTGTTACCACACAGCCACCAGTCAGATAGGTAAACCTGGATAGGTGAGGGATGTTCCAAATGTGTGGCTTTTTCTCTATCTGCCTTCCTTTGAATACATTTCACCTCATTCACACACTCTTCCAAACAATGTAATATAGACCAGGTAGGATTTTATGTTTGCAACACAAAAGTCTAAATACTTTCCCTTAAGCACAAGCCCAGTCATAGTCTGGCCTTCCTTTTTTAACCTGTTCTCACATCTATCACCTCAGGTTCTTAATGACTAACCTGCTCTGCACAAGGATGGCCTGGCAGGGGCAGTGCTGTTCAGTTCTGTTGACCCATCCATTTCAATCACCCCAAGGTATCACTCAGATTCCGGTCTCCTCCTCAGTGGCCTCCCCTTATCCTGCAGCCTGTTCGCCAGGGCTCTTCCCTCCTTCCTGAACCTTTGTCCTTCCCATTCCACTAGCTTATTTCTTCCCAGCATCTCAGGCTTTCTTGACTTTGAGGCATCATCTGTGTGTTGTACGTTGAGTATGAGAGAATTTGGTCCTACCTCAGTACAATATTCCCTGTCCACATGTGCACTCAATGGTTGTACAGTAACTGTTTCTTGAAGAAGAGCTCAGGAGTAGAGTGATCCAGTGGTGGCGACTTTTTAAAAAATCAGTCATTTGTCAATTATGAATACCCATTGGCATTTTCCCCTTCTCCTTTGACCTGAACACTTTCATTCATCCAACAAATACTGAGCGCATTTTTTTTGCATTTTATTATGTGGTAGATGTCAGGCTAGCGCATGCGCACTGTGCAGGTGTCACAATCGATGAGGGCATTGGATCTCCTGAAACTGGAATTATAGGCACTTTGTGAGACACCTGATAGAGGGTGCCTGAGAACCATCCAATGAAGAGCGGTAGGTGCTCAGCTTTCAAGCGCTGTGCCATTTCTCCACCCACTACCGAGTGTATTCTTGATGTACCCAGCCAGGCAGCAGAAGGCTGGAGCTCTGCCCTGGACCTTTCGTTTCTGAAGAGTAGAGATAGTTACGTAAAAGGAGCGTCCCGGCTGTTTCCTCGAAAACGGAGTGGAGCGTTGTTTACAACATTATCTTCCTCCTGTTGCCAAATGAACCTGTAACTTGAGGGCAGCCAAGGAAGTTACCTTGTGGCATTAAACTTGTATTTTTGAAAATACGGTTGGATTCTACCTGGGTTCAGTCACCTATATTGGCGGGTGGGAGAAAGCAGCAAGTTTTGGAAAGATTAAAACAATGGGAACCCCAAAGCCCTGCATTCCTAGGGCACGGGGGAGCCCCAGAGGTCTACGGACCCAGAAGTAGCACCGGTTCCACTCACCTGTGGGCCGCGCAGACCCCGCCCCCCCGTGATTGACGGCCCTAAGGCCCCGCCTCCGGGAAGCCCAGCAGGAGACTTGCGCGGCCCGGCCCTGTCTTCCTCCAGGCCACTCCTGCTTGGCCGGGATTGGCCGAGAGCCGCCCTCGCCCGACCCGCGCGTTATGTAAGGTACTCCGGAGCCTTTGCACCCGCCCACACGCCCTCGGTTATGTAACCCCCACGGTGCCCGACCTGGGCCCCGCCCCCTGACCAATGGGAGCTCTCGTAGTCGGTAACAGCGACCAATCGCACGGTGAATGGGCGGGGCCAGTTCCCCGGCGCGCAGTGGGGCGGGGCCGGCGGCAGCTCGGCACGCGGCCGGCCTCGAGACTCTGCCTCCGGCGGGTGGGCGAGGCTCTGCGGGGCGGCGGGCGGCGGCGAGTGCTCGGCTGGCGGGACTCCTGCGAGCCCGCACGGCCGGGCGCTGCTGCCCCTGCCTTCCGCCCGGTCAGCTCGGACGTTGCGCTCTGAGGTGTTCTCGATGCTCTCCGGCTTCCCAGCTCGGACGGTGGAAAAGTTGTTGCGGGCTGAAGGCGCTCCCTGAGAGCCACGCCGGTGGTCCGGCCAACCCGCTTCCCGCGTCGAGCTTTGGATGTAGCTCGTCACCCGAGCAGATTCTGTGGAAATGCTGAGGAGAAAAGGGCCCCTCAGATGAGCGTGGTCGGCGATCAGTCTTTCCCGAAGGCGATGGCAGGGACCAAAACAAGCCGGTTTTGGTTGCTAGCTGCAAACTGAGAGAAGCAGGCTGAGGGCTGCCAGGCGGGATGGATCCCTGTGGAGACCCGGCAGTGCCCGGTGGCGACTGTCCCCAGACTAGGGGACCGGGGCTCCAGGGGGCGTCTGGCCAGGAGGGTCCTCTGCAGGGCACTTGCGTGGACAGCAGCCACAGGTGACTCTAGGAAGCCTCCCCACCATCCTCTGTGTTTTATTTTCCTTCCTTAGAGCGGGGAAAGCAGGATTTACAACTTTTTTTATTGTGTTTTTGACCCCGGGGCCGGGGGTAGCGGGAGGCGACCTGAAAGGGAACTTTCAGACAGTTCAGTGAGGATTGATGGGAGGGGGACTGTTACTAAAGTAAAAGACCAGAGTACGGAAAGAAAGAGGAAAGTGGCTCAAGAATCTGACGGAGTTAGGACTGAAACGAGAAGGAAAGTGTAAAATGTACCCTACCTGGAAGAGAAAGGGCATTAAGCTTGTGACCTGGGCTAACTGAGGCACCCAAACATCCCTAAAAATCAGGTATTCCCTGAGTGTCCACCGTTACCGTTTCTTGTTTGTTTTTTTCTACTCAGTGAACGCGAAGACCGAAACGGAATGTCTGAAGAACTTATTATGGTTGTCCAAGAAATGAAAAAGTATTTCCCAGCCGAGAGACACACTAAACCCGGCACCTTAGATGCCCTTAACTATGCCCTGCGCTGTGTACATAGTGTACAAGGTAAATGAGTTGCAGCGAGTAGGGTGGCGCTGGGCCCAGTACTCATGCACAGTGGGATTCCAGCCTCCAGAGGCGTGAGCTCTCTTTGTAGCCAAGACAAGCAAGTCTAAAGCTGATGTAAGTAGTGCTTTAGGCTGTCCAAGTTTGAAAAGCCAGGAGAGTGTTATTTGTCTGAGAGTTTAGTAACTGCAATAATGTGCCTATCTGTTGCAAGAGTTAAGAGTTACGCAGTTTAAGTAAAACTCAGAAGACTTTCAAGGAGCATTGCCTTCCATGGAGATTACAAGAGCAAATACATGTAATTTTTTTCTGTCATGTACACATTTTAGAAACGTAGTTACAGTATATAAAAAATTGACTAAATCAAAGAACAAATGTTTCTCCTTTCCCTAGCATAAACGGTTTTGCTCAGCCTGTGATAAATAGGTAGTTTGTGAATTCTAGTGTTTCCTCCATTTAAAAAAAAAAAAAGTATGTGTATCTGGACTTTGATTTTATTAACTAGCTTTAGAACATTAAATGAGTCTTGCTCCTTGTAACCTAGAACAGGCAGGATTCATAAAAGTCATAGTCTTAAGTTTGCATAACTGTATGCTTGATGCAAACAAATAAAAATCACCTGGTTTTGAGGGAAACTCACTGAAGGTCTCCTCACCTAAGGAAATATGCCAACTTGATAGTGCTAGCTAATGACTTCCTCAAGATACCGTTGTCACCAGACTGTTTATCTCCCTGTGTTTCTTAGCAAACAGTGAATTTTTCCAGAGTCTCAGTCCACACGGAACACGTCAGGCAGATGTGACTGTATACAGCCTTGAGGAGCTGACCTCTCTGGCTTCTGAACATACTTCCAAGAACACAGTAAGATTTCATGAGTTTTGCTATCTCCGCTGGGTGACTTTTCCTCAGGCCCTTCTCTGGGTGTTAAAGTAGTCATTGGAGCTTCACTTGCTGAGATAAAAAAAAAAAAAAGACGAAAGTTCTAAAGAGGTCCTGTGTAGTCTGCCCATACCAGCGATCCTGTCTGAAGGTAGACGTGGCTTCTTGTGCTGTATCATAGGTTCCTGTACTTAGCGGGCAGGTATTTTCCTCCCCTTAGCATCCTCTGTTCTCTCAAAGAAAAAGAAAAAAAGCAACAAGCGAAATGTGGCAGAGTATTTCCTGCATCTTATTCTAATCTCCAAATTGTTACTTTCTATCTGTATCATTCTTAGTTCCAATACCTACTTCCTCACGTTGTAACAACTGGATTTTGTAGTACAGGTGAGTTGAGATGTCATTTTTGTAGTGAAATTTTAGAAGAGAACTCTAGTGGTATATTTATATTTTTAATCTCTTCTTGTTGACAGAGTAATTCAGTCCTGTATTGTGTTGATGGTGGAGACTCCTTCATTGGGTGTTTATAGACTCCAGCATCATCATAACTTAACAGTTTTTATAGTTTTACAACAGGAGCTGTGTCGTGTTACATAACAGAGCTCACTCTGCTAACGTGCACGGTGATGTACTAGGCATTTAAACAGCAAGGTTTAAGAAAACACTCAGCATCTCAAATCTTCACAGTAAATCTAGACCAGGAAACAGGTCCGGAAGCACAACGGCTGATTATAAATGAAGTTATCAGCTAATAAAACAGATCTGAGAGGCAATTCTTATGTAATGAGGTCTGTCAGGGACAGCTTTGTGGAGAAGGAGAGCTTGAGCTTGGTCTTTAAGCACAGAATCTGCATTGCTGACAAGAATTCTTGACAGTCCCTCCTGGTGGAGAGCACAGTTTGCAGAAGAGAGAAGTGTGTGCACTGTATATATTTAGTCTGCTTGGAAGCTGCTGTGGGCTTTTTGGCATAGAATTAGACTTTCAGGAAGCAGAGTACAGTTTTTATAATAGTTGTTAAGAAGCATGCTGGGGGAAACTAGGAAGCCTTTTTTTTCTTTACAAGGGGTGAGTGTGCGCGTGTTGTGTGTGTGGGTAGAGATCCAGAAGAAACTGACTTTGCAGAGGCATTGTTTGTAAGTTCCTCAGTGTCTGTTTCAAATATTTCCCTAGGACACCTTTGTGGCAGTGTTTTCGTTTCTGTCTGGAAGGTTAGTGCACATTTCTGAGCAGGCTGCTCTGATCCTGAATTCTAAGAAAGGTTCCCTCAAGAGCTTGCACTTTGTCGACTTGCTTGCCCCTCGAGATGTGAGGGTGTTCTACGCACACACTGCTCCAACTCAGCTTCCTTTCTGGAACAACTGGACACAAAAAGGTATGTTAGGTTGAGTGTCTGGGCCGAGATCCGGTTCTCACAGAAATAGGACAGACATTAACATGTTATTTTCAACATACAGCTCATGTCATTTCCCTTATTTATTTTTTTATTTAGTTTATATAGTTATTTAATTTCTTTGTTTTTGTTTTGTTTGAGACAAGGTTTTCTGTGTAGCCAAGGCTGTCCTGGAACTTGCTTTGTAGTCCAGGCTGGCCTCAAACTCTGGGATCTGCCCATCTCTGCCTGAGTGTGGAATTTCAAGACATGTGCCACAACTATAGGCTTTCTTCTTCTTTTTTAAAAGAAATGGTATTTTATCACTTAGTAATGTAACAGATCAATGCATTTCCTTTACTTAGTGAGATTTCACATATTTCATATGAAAAATAGCTTTGATTGGTACAGGCTCTCTTCCCTCTGAATTAGGACATACGTTCTTTCTCTGTTGACTCCATGATGTCTTTGTCTAATAGGCGTGACTTTATAGGTGAGATTCTGAGAGCTCCAATTAACTTTTTCTGGCCCCTAAAAGTTCATGGATCTCATAACTTGGTTGGTCGTGAAATGCTTGTTGACTTGAACAGATCTGCGTGGCCACAGCTTTCTCTGCGGCATTCTGTCTGCGTGATTTCCTTTTGTAAAGCCACTCATTACTCCTTACATTCTCTGTGAGTCACCTCTTAAAGAGCTCAGTGCACCGTGTGCATTGGCCTTTGCTGTGATCTTCGTTCCTATTCTCTATTGTTTGTTCGTTGTAACCCAGGCTACCCTTAAACTTGCCTTATAGCCAAAATGGCCTTAAGCTAATCTTCCTGCCTTTACCTCCTGAGTGATGGGATTACAGGCATACATCACCAAGCCACCATCAGCAGTGCTGGGGATCGAACCTAGGGCTTCATGAGGCTAGGCAAGCATTCTGCTGACTGAACTACATCCCAGCATCACTTTATCTAACTGCTTTAAAGGATTTCTTGTGTATGTATGGGTGTTTGCCTGCTTAAATGTCTGTGTACCACATGGGTTTCAGTGCCTATGGAAGCCATAAAAGGGTATTAGGCACCCCCTTGAACTAGAGTTAAAGATTTGGGTACAGGGGATTGAATCTGGGGCCTCTGGAAAAACAGCCAGTGTCCTTACTGCTGAGTCTTCTCCCTAGCTCTCCTAAGAAACATTCCTGTTACTGTGTTAAAAGTAGAGAACAGGTGAGCACAGCATCTTGGCCCAGCACTCTGGAGGATGAGGCAGGATGGGACTTCAAGGCCATTGTCATCCACATACTGAACCCTCCACCCCCCACCCCCCCAAAAAAAAAATGTAGCACCAGATTTGCCATCCCCAGTCATTTTTAAGTTCAGGGATCAGAGGGATGGAGAATGCTTGTATTCTTGATAAACAGACTCCCGCTGTGTCATCTCTCGGCTGCCTCTTTTCTGGGTTTTACAATTTAATCCTCAGCCCAGTCAAGTGTCTCTATGTTTGTCTAACTCTACTATCTCTCTCCTTTCCCATCTTAAAAATCCTGGTATTGTTTATCTTTCTTTGCTAAATGCACATTCTCAACCTTCAGTTGTCTGTGTTTGGTTTTTGGCTTTCATTAATCACCCATTCTAAGAGCATTCCATGATAATGTGGGCCAGGAACTGTTCTCCATGCTGGGATGCTAGACTAGACATGCTTGCCGTCTGTTTTTGGTTGTTTTGTTTTTTCTCCTACAGTGCTTGCAACTTTAGCCTTTTTGCTCTTTGCTGGTTGATCATTGCTATGGTATCTTCATCCCATCTAAAACTTTAATATATGCTGAAATGACCACTTCTGCCATGCAGACACGATATGCATCAGGTTTACCTCGGGTATTGTGCTTCTGCTGTGTCCGTCCCAGTTCAGGCTTCAATCAGGAACAGTTAATGAGCTCTAGCCCCATTCTAGGCTGTAACCCACTGCTCGCCTGCCTCAGTCTCCTCCTGGGAGCTCCGAGGACCTAAGAGGACACAGGGTGCTATTTATTCTGCAGTCTGTTTGCGCATGTCTTAGAACATGCTTCCACTTAATGTCAGTTGTAAAGACCTCTCAGGAGGATCTGATAGTTCTTAGGAACTCATTTCCAGAAGCAGGAACTCACACTTTCCCAGCTTGTTGAGTACCTTATGGGCTTGTGTCCCCTGAGATCACAGAATCTGGCTCATGGTTCTGCAGTGGCTTGTGGTGAAGACGGAACCCTGATGTAATAATATGTACCTGCTGTGAGCAGGAGGCAGCGTCGTTTCTTCGTGTGACCCTTAGATGTTCAGGGACATAGCCCTGTTCGGTATTTTGGGTCTGTGGGATTCTCACTGGTTATGTTAATATCGATGTGTGTGTTTTAACAGTTTTCCATAGTTCAGTAGTTTAGATCTTTCCAGTGAAACATTTGGGCAAAAGATTCCTCTTTTGACTCTAAAATGCATTTACTTTTGGGCTGTCACTGTATATTTAAGAAAGGCTGGTGAAAATCACTGGCCTGAAGGAGAGAAAACATGAGGCCACTGAGTATTGGTCTAGCCCTCTAGAGATGACCTGAGCAGTACCTGAGAGTCATAGCGGATCATACATGGAACCTAAAGCACAGCTTGTCAGATTCCCCAAGGTCAGACCTAAGGTGGAGGAAAACCATCACATTTACAGGTCAGAGAACTGAGGTGTGAGAATACTCCAGGTTTCCCCAAATGCTACAGTGGAGCAGACTGGAGGCCCTAACATAGCTGCCATCAGGTCATCATGGTGATGTTAGAAATATCACATGCTTAGCTGTGAGTGAGGGAAAGGTGTGGGTAAATGAAGCCAAGTCCAGGTGGACTCTCACAGTGAGAGAACACCTCTCAGGAGCACTTGAGGGTCAGTGTGGTGGTACAGGACTGCTTCACTGAGGAGCTGCCTGAGGACAGGGGGATCATCTCTCTCTCTTTCTAGACTCACAGTATGAATGTGCACCAGTGAAACCCTTTTTCTGCAGAATCTGGTAAGTAAAAAACACAGAGGCTCGAAATGTGCCTTATTCTCTAATCTCTACTCAACCTTTATGGTGATTCGTTTGTATTCAGCTAGATTCTGTTGTACATACAACAACAACCACAAAACCCTCTTGATTGCTGCTATGTGAATTTGTGAATTTGGAAGAAAAATAAAAGCACTGAAAGATAGTCGCCAGCCCTATGCCGTTAGAACCCGTGGTTTGAAGTAAACTGTAAAACAACCATGTTTCAGGGTCTGTTTTGCTTGCTTGCTTTTTGCTTTCCAGTTCAGTCATATTTAAAATTGATTTACAAAATTTCCTCACACCTACCTCTCAGTTTTTAGAATTTTTAATAGCAGGGTTTAAAAATACTGTGAGCTAGAAGACAATTGGCCACACTTTAACAGGAATTGATTTCTTATAGATAGTTAACATCCTCTGAGCTTAATTACTGTGATGTTGCTTTCATAGAAAAAAAAAAAAAGACTTACTTTTGAGAGTTGATCTCTCTGTGTAGTCCTGGCACTCACTCTGTAGACCAGGCTGGCCTCAAACTTACAGAGATCCACCTGCCTCTGCCTCCCCATGGCTTGAATTAAAGGTGTGTGCCATCATTCTAGGCAAGAAAAAACATTTTTAAAGTGTCACAGTTGCTTAATGTCAGTATTGAAGTTAGTAACTACTCCAGATGTTTATAGAAGGAAAAATGTTTACAAGGCAAATAACCAGAGATGCCATAAAATTGAGCTAATGGTATTAGAATGCGTAGGTGGGAGGGGTCACCAGGTGGGAGGGGCCTGCGTGCGCTACTGAGTCATTCACAAGAACATGCCCGAAAGGCAGTGAGTGACGTGTGCATTTGTTACAGTAAATACTTTCAGGTCCTACCTGAATTGATACTTCATTCAAAGCAATATTTTTGTCCCCATGTGTTGAGATAACCTTTTTTACATCATGTGGAGGTGTGTCTCTGTATTTTCAGTCGTTAATTCTGTACTGGAAGAGTGCTAAATGCTGGCAGAATATTGCTATTGTCATTTCCATGGCCTGTCAGCGACCTTATAGTTGCAAATACTTGTCCTTCCATACCTGCTTCTGTACATGAAGGTCAGACAGCCCTCTATGCCGAGAGACAATCTAGAGCTGTATCAGATGTTGTCTCACTGCTGATTGGTTGTAATAAAGAGCTGCTGGCCAATAGCAGGGCAGGATGTAGAGAGGGATGGACACTGGGAGAAAAAAGCAGAGTAGGACTAGGGGTCGGGGATGCGGTTATTCAGAGAGTAGACACAGAGGGAGCAGATGGGCCAGAGTGGAGCAGAGAAGGGTCTAGAGCTAGCCACATGGCAGGTCATGGCTAAGATAGTCGAGTTACGTTAGGTGAGCTAGCTGGGAGATTGTCCAAGCAAAAGGCCTAAGTTAAACTACATAGAAGTCTCGTGTCATTATTTAAACGGCTGACAGGTCCGGAAAGTCTCACTATACTTTGTCCTTAAATTTTGTAAGCAGGAAACCAATAGTACATAAACATAAATGTGCCCACTGGCAACAAATTCTGGACAAGGGAGAAATTGCTGGTTTTTTTTTTTTCAGAGTCATTTTGTCTGTTTTCTGTTGTTGTAACAGAATACCTAGGAGTGGGTAGATTGTAAAGGAGACATTCATTTTGGCTCACAGTTGGAGAGCTCACAGTTGGAGTTGTGAGTTGGAGTTGGAGAGCATAAAGCCAGAGTCTGCTGGGTTCTGGTAATGGCCTCATGACAAAGGACAAACAAGCGTGGTCCAAAAGGCAGAGAGAGCCAGACACCACAATAGCCAGCTCTCACCAGAGCTAACCCCACGCTGACAGAAACTGCATTACTCGTCTACGGCCATACAACCCTGAATGCACCCGATCTTGTCTGATCTTGGAAGCTAAGCAGGGTCAGGCCTGGGTAGTACTTGGATAGGAGAAACTGCATTACTGCCGAAGGCAGTGTTCCCATGACCTCCCATGACCCCTGCTTTGCTCTCAGTACATGGCACCTGCAGCTAGCACATCCACACTATGATAGTGATGAAGGAAGTCCTCTCTGAGGGATCCCAGCTGCTACCAGAGACCCAAGGAAGATGGGAGTAAGCCAGGCAAGTGCATAAGTTCCTGAGGAAGCGTGGTCCACGTGGTCCACAGAAGTGCACTGGGGTAGACCGCGCCTGGCTGCTGAAGGGTTAACAAGGATCCTGGCTGGAACAGAAGGGGAATGAGAGAGCAGATGAAGAGGAAACCACAGGGAACTGCACTTTCAGAAACAGGTGTTTTGTTGAGATTGATTATCTTCAAGCCTTTTCCTTTTCCTTTTTAACCTAACTAAAGCAGAGAAAGTAGTATTACAAGCTAGTATGTTCTGATTGGCCACCTATAAACCATGGCTGACCTGGTGCCATCTGTACCTCCTCCAGTTCTTCCCCGACGGCTTTTATCTCAGATCTCACACATTCTCTCCCTTGGTACTTTAGAATGTGCTTCTAAAGACAGAGTCATCATTCACTTTTATAAGGGTGAAATTGCCTGTCTTTGACCAGTAGGAACACTTCAGGCTGGATGCCCTGCTCCTGTAACAGTGGCCTCGTGATCTTTGACAGCCTCTTCTGCTTTAGTCATGAGATCTCCCATACCCCAGACTCAAGAGTTGTCATTTCTCCATGAGTCCCCTGTTCCAGGTGGAGGGAAATGGCATTGCCACCGAGACCCAGTCTGGGCGAGGGGACAGTCCTTATTGCAGGGCTGCCAGTGTTTGCTGGACTTTTCAGTTGACAGAGCTAGGGGGTTTGTTTACTCTGTATAGCACTGGCTGTTCTGGAACTCACTCTGTAGACCAGGCTGGCCTCAAAATCAGAAATCCACCTGCCTCTGCCTCTCAAGTGCTAGGATTAAAGGTGTGCGCCACCACTACCCGGCTGGGGAGTTTCGTTTATTAAGAAGGCATATTTTGCATTGGAAAGGACTGTGGGCTGCTCTGTGGAGAGAGATGCTGTGACAGACCAGCCCAGCCAGAGCACTGACTGGCCTGGCATGGGTTGTAAGGTCAGGCTGATGAAGTGGTGGAAGAAAACATCTGGATGCTTCTCCAGGATTTAATAAAGGGTTAGAACTGGGCCATGATACACAAAGGAGTAAGGGATGGCAGTAGGAATCTCAGGTACAGATGATTGAGGCCCAGGAGCACAGAGCTAAAGCACCTTCTTGGAAAGGTGCTTAGTTGTGTCTAGGCTAATCTGAGCTGAGACTGTATGAGAACCTATTCTAGTTAGAGGTACAGGTCAGCAGTTAATGTCTAGGGCAAATGTCTATGAGTGACACTTAGAACCCTTGGCCTGAAGGAGTCCTTACAGCAGTCGGAGGAAGCTGGACAGATAAAAGCATGAACTCTTTGTCTGGTTAGAGCAAGGCCCTCATCCAAGTGACTGAAGTAGGAAGCAGGGTCGTGGGGTGAGGGGAGCTGCCACAGTGCGCATGGCTCTGGAACTCTGAGACAGCCCTGGGAGTAGAGGTCACTAATGTAGATTTTGTTAGGAGAGAGGCTTGGTTACAGACAAAAAGGAAAGGGGCTCGCACTGGGACATGAAGACTATGCAGGATGGTGCCATGTCCCCCTGCTTTATTGCTCATCCTCAGAGCTGTCACTGGTGAGAACTGAGAAGGGCTCAAGCTCTGTTCCAGAGGCCAGGTTGGGCAGCTGGGTTTTAACACCCCTTTTTTTCCAACTAGGCATTTTGCAGGACAGTGCTTACCTTCAAGCTGAGCCTGCAACAGTCAATGAAGTAGCTGAAGAAGCTTTGAGGCTGTCAGGTCTTTAAAAGGGGGAAGAACGGCACCTTAGAGTTGGGTGTGACCATGTGATCACATGGGACCCCGTTTTCTATTTAGTAACGCTTGTATCTCACAGAAGAACGGTAAAAGCTGGGAGTCTGGGGCACAGTCATGAGCCAGTCTTGGGGTGACCGACAGTGATGTAAACAGTCCCCCATAAACGTCTGATGCAGTGAAGAGTGGGTGTATGTACCTACCCAGGGGACTGAGATTGCCAGCTAACCTTCCCTTTGGGGAGACAGACACCTCTAAATGGTTTAGACTTGGGTCTTTCTGTCTTGGGAATCACTGTGGAACATTCTCCAGCCTGTCTGCAGCGGGCTGAGTGCAGCCGCCGGCCGAGCGCTAATCACCTTTGATCTCTTCAGTGGCGGTGGAGGCAGAGAGCAGAAGAGGCATTACTCTCCATTCCGGATCCTCCCCTATTTGGTTCATGTACATAGCTCTGCCCAGCCAGAACCAGAGCCTTGCTGTCTAACACTGGTTGAAAAGATTCACTCTGGTTACGAAGGTAAGTCAGTAAGTACGCCCTGCTCTCAGTAAGCTACAGAAGGCAGTGTTCAGACAGCAGTGCAGGGATAGCAGCTTCTGTAGTTCCAGGAAAGAAGACTGCTTCAGTTTCCAGTCTGAGTCATAGGCTCCAGAAGCACTTGCAACTGGCGATTGCTGACCTTGTCTTCCTGGGCTGTTATCCCTGCCACAGAGTAGCCTCATGGGCTGTACCTCACACTTGGATAGACACATAGTCCTTTTGTCCCTTCTCTGTTGGTGACCTGCTCTGTGGCCTTTTATATCTGTCATGTATGAAACAGTAGCACTAAAATCATTAGATGAACAGGCCACAAGAATGGTTGAGTTTTCCAGGAAGCACAGGGACTGAGGCATGTGTACCCAGAGCTACATAACAAGTTCAAGGTTAGCCTGACCTAAATAGTGAATACCTGTCTGACCAAAAGTATAACACAGTGGGAGAGTGCTTGTCTTGGGTGTAACCACAGGGCCCTGGATTTGATCCTCAGCAGTTGGTGGGGGGTAGAGATATCCTATTATAGAAGTATTTGGAAACTTCCAGAAATTTCAGTGTATATATTCAATAAACAGAAATACATTTCTAAACTTGTAAATAGCAGCAGCTTCCATTTAATACTTAAAAATCACAGTTCTTATGAGACGTGATATGTGCTTTCCTACAAATTACCACCCTGTTCAAAAGTCACCGGAAAACCATAAGACCATGGTGAAAATTAGTTCAGGGGCACAATGATCAAAACAATTAATTACATTTTTTAAAATAAAGGACAAGGAGATAAAAGCTCAGCGGTTAAGAGCACTGACTACATTTCCAGTAGACATGGGTTCAGTTCTCAGCACCCACATAGTAGCTCACAACAGTCTGTAACTCTAGTCTAGGGTAGCTCACAATCCGTTTTGGCTGCCTCCTATACATACATGCAGGACAAACACCTATGCACATAAAAATATTTTTAAGAAATAATAAAACCATAAATTTACATGCCAAACCAGTGGTTCTCAACCTGTGGTCCGAGACCCTTCTAAAAGTTGAACTAAGCTTTCACAAGGGTTGTTTATCAGATATCCTGCATGTCAGATATTTACATACTATTTGCAACAGTAGCAAAATTAGTTACAAAGTATCGATGAAAGTAACTCTGGTTGGGTCATTACAACATGAGGAGCTGTATTAATGGGTGTCAGCATTATGAAGGTTGAGAACCACTGTGTTAAATGATAAGAAAACCCCAACACTACTGTAACCGTGGCCTGGGATGAATCGAGGTAGCCACAGCAGCCAAAATGTATACATGTTGCGTGACCCCGAGTGCCTCAAATCAGTGGGCTCTGACATATTCACTTAAGGTGTTTTGCAGCTGAAATCATGCTCAGGTAACTGAGGTAAGCCATGTTCACACTCGGATTGTTGCCTGTGTTTCCCGTGCACGTTTAGAGCAGAGCTTGCTAACTTAGTGGTACCAGTTTTATTACAGAACACATTGCTTCTATACCATTTCGAATGCTCACCACTGTGTGTTCAGTGCTTCCCTCACTCCAACTCTGTTAGCATTCAGGATAAAGAAACCAGCTGTTTAGAATGCAGCAGGCTTTCTGTATGTAAAACTAACCATAATGTAGTCATTGTAGATTGACCTCATTTAAATCAAGTTAGGAATGAAACATCTTGTTGGACTGTAGCTTTGACTCCAGACCAGTCAGACCTCTGAGTTAGATTTCTGCCATTTCATATGTTTTTCTTTTATTTCCTCTTTGTATGTAGCTAGCTGGGTAGATGATTAATTGGATGTTTGACCCTTAATCAGTCTTTCTCCTTTTTTAATAGCTCCTCGAATCCCTGTAGATAAAAGAATTTTTACCACAACACACACGCCAGGATGTGTGTTTCTTGAAGTAGATGAAAGGTAAATACTTGTTTGAGTCTAGAAGAAATTTGTTTCTGAAGACAAACCAAGGTACTTACTAGAGGTTTGAGGTGTGCTTTATTTGCTGTTGTGGATCTTGTGACAGACGTTAGGTTGCCTGCACGGTTCCTGCTGCTTACAGTCCAGCTTAAATTGAGTCCTCTTAAATAAGTATATTTTCAAGTTACATTTTATTTGTTTGTTTATTTATGTGTATGTTTGTCATGCACATGTGGAGATGAGGGGTCACCTTTCTAGCACTGGGTCTCAGATCCAGCTCACACCAGCAGGGTCCGTGGTAAGTAATTTTACCTGTTAGGTCCTCTCACTGTACCAGTTAGCTGACTTTTAAGTGTAAACACCTTGCGTATTATATTTTTGAAAGTGATTTACATGATATCTTGCTTGAGCCACAGGCGGCACATGTGTTATTATTCTTATTTTACATAAACCAAGGACCAGTTCACCAAAACTATCTGACTGTATTCAACATAGAGCCAAGACTCAGTCTTTTTTGGGGGGTTAGGGGAGTACTGAGATGCTTTCTCTGCATTCCTGGCTGTCCTGGAACTCGCACTGCAGACCAGGCTGGCCTCCAACTCAGAGATCCACCTGCCTCTGCCTCCCAAGTGCTGGGATTAAAGGAGTGTCACTATGCCTGGCTAAGACTCAAATGTCTTAGCATTTACTTTAGTGGTATTGCCATTTGACAGATGTTGTTCAAATCAATTCATGTTGTTCAAATCAATTCAGGAAAAATGAAGAAAACATACTTTGCATTTACAAAGAAGGCTAGCTTTGTTTAAAGAATTTTTCTCTATTTTGAACTTACATTACCTTTCTTTTTAAGGGCAATTTTAAAATGATTTTTGTTATTTTTTACACATAGTGAGAACAGATGCTATTATTGCTGTCTCTCAGTATTTTTTAGAAAAACAATTATGTATGTGTCTGGCTGTTTTGTCAGAGCGTGTATCTGTACCACATGAAGAACCTACTAAGAGGACAGAAGAGGGCTTCAGATGATGGTTGTGAGCTACCATGTGGGTTCTGGAAATGTAACTCAGGTCCTCTGGGAGAGCTGTAGTGCTCTCAACTGCTGAGCCATCTCTCCAGTTCTTGTTCTTTAATATTTCCGTCTGGATAAAGCAGACATTGTTATCACAGAAATATATGCAACCTCCATGTACACAAACTTATTTTAGAATTCTATGTATTGAATTTGAAAATCTGAGAAATTGGACTGAGCCATGCAGTAGTGTAGAGCGAAGCCCAGACACTGTTCATGTAGCCTGGTTTGTCTCAGTCATCCGCACAAGACTTCTTTCCTGAGCACACTTCTGTGAGGTGTCTGTAGGGCAGTTGCCTTTTGATACTGTGTGTGATTTTTGACATTACATTGTATCTGATTATTAATCACGTTTTTTGTCCATCAGCCTTTGTTACTGTGATAAAATACAGGAAATGGCCAACTTGTAAGGAGGAAAGAAAGGTTTATTCACTACCCAGTTCAGGCCATAATCACTTGCTGGCTCCATTGCTTTGAGACCTCTGGTAGGATAGGACATCACGGTGGGGAGCAGATGCTAAAGTAAATCTCCTTACTTCATGGTTCCAGGAAGCAGTGGGAGTGGGAAGTCAGGGCAGAAGCCTGAATGTAGGAGCCATGGAGGAAGGCTGCTGCCGGTTCACTCCGTGCCTTGCCCTGCCTTTTTGCTAGCCTTCTTACACAGACTGGAACCGCCTGCCCAGGGAATGACACTGCCCACTGTGGACTGGGTCTCTTACATTAAGTTGGTCAAGACAGTCCCTCCCAAACATGTCTAAAGACTAATGTGATGATGACATTTACACAGCTGAGACTTTCTTCAGGTGATGAGGTTGACAGCTAATGCTGACTCAAACAGAGCCTGAGGGTTTACCCCATGACCTAACTTCTTTCCACCGGGCTTTGATCCCTAAAGGCTTCATCACCTCCTAAGATTGCCATGGTTGGGGACCAGGCTTTCCGTGTACTAACTCTTGGGAGATATTCAAAGTCCACCAATGCTGTATAAATTCATATACACACATAAATTCATATACCAATGCTGAAGAAATTCATAGTCCACTTCATGGTTGACACCTTCTGTATTACCTTATAACAACATGGTGAAGAACACAGCAGTCCTGAGGAACGTGCTGAAAGGTCTGTGGGTAATACCAAGTTTTTGATTCCTGAGTTCAGTGAGCCTGCAAGCCTGTTCTTAGTATGAGATGGTTTTGGTGCAACGTGGTAGAAGGCCAGGGACACAGTTAGCTTGTGCCTGTTCCCCATAAACAGGCACTTGGGGATTTGCCTTCTTGAATGCATTAATAGGCGTCTTTTCATTGATGTTCTTCCTGTGCAGAGTTAATAGAGAGGCTAGGCTTTGATGGTGATGTTCTGTCTTGCAGAGTGGGAAACAGAAACTTTATGTATACTAAGCACATAGGCTATCACTGAGCTATATTGCTAGCCTGTGTGGGTATTTTTAAGTATGTAAAAACTACTTAATTACCTGCCCAGTATAACATGCTTCCTGTGCTGTGTGCCTGTGCCCCAGAGCAGTGCCTTTGCTGGGTTACCTACCTCAGGATCTGATTGGAACATCGATCTTAACATACTTGCACCCAGAAGATCGGCCTCTGATGCTTGCCATACACCAAAAAGGTGGGGCCTGCTCCTTTATGGAAGTTGTTATTTGCCACTGATGGGTTGTAACGTTTTAGTTCATTTTTGATTAGAGTTTAGCCTTTACCCAAATAAGGAATGTGTTGGAACTGCTAAAATAGTTGTTTCCTGTTTTAAAGTGCCCCCCCAAAAATCCCAAAATAAATAACCGAAGCAGAGCACTTACAATCTTATCTTTGTAGAGTTTGGTTTTAATCCTGTTGCTTCCTCTAGTTTTAAAGTATGTGGGCCACCCTCCGTTTGAACACTCGCCTGTCAGATTCTGCACTCAGAACGGAGATTATATCATCCTGGATTCCAGCTGGTCCAGCTTCGTAAACCCCTGGAGCCGGAAGGTCTCCTTCATCATTGGTCGGCATAAAGTCCGAACGTAAGTTCATCAGTTGCTGCCATGGGGTACAGAGGTAAGGAGGGCAGATGTCACTTGTCATGGGGAGATGGACTTGATTTGGTATAAAGTCCCTGAGCTCAGGAGATCTCTCGCTATTTTGATGGTGCTACCAGCACTCTGTGACCTCCTAACAATAATGCAGCCTTGGGGCAGTGTTTTAGCTTTTAGGGCACTGTCTCTGCACTGTAGATCTGTAACTCCGCCTGGAGATCCAATGCCCTCTTCTGGCCTATGCAGGCACCAGGCATGCAGGTGGTTGCCCAGATAACACTCATGCAAAACACCATACACATAAGAAAAAAATAAATTAAAAAATTTTAATATTTATTTTATTTTGATATGTATAAGAGTTTCGCTTGCATGTGTGTATGATGAATGTGTGCCTGGGGCTGTGGAGGCCGGAAGGGTGCACTAGATCCCCTGGAACTGGAGTTACAACTCTGGTAAGCAGCTGTATGAGTGCTGGCAACCAAACCCAGGTTCTCTTCAAGAGCAAAAAGTGTTCTTAACCACAGAACCATCTCTTGGACCACTGGCTTTGCTATTCTTGGTTCTCTTTTCATCCGGCCTGGGGCGGGGCAACCAGTCTCCCACTGGACCACAATACCCAGCCTCACACTGAATGTCACGCATAATGCCTACATCATAAGACTTTAGTAGGTGATGTGTCTGACTCAGTATTCCTCATTGGTACCCACTCTCCCAAGGTCCCAAGAGGTAGTTTCGTGACACAGCAAAGGTGTGAACCTTGATACCTAGACTGGTCCCTTTCTCTCTCTCTCTCCTCTCCCCTTAACAACCAGGGGACCTGAAACGGGTCCCATTGAAGGGATAATCCCATTGAATGGATAATACTTGTAAAGCAGTTGGGGCAATGCCTTTCACAAGTTAGGGCAGTGGCTCCCAACCTTCCCAGTCCCTTTACTACAGGGCCTCATGTTGTGGTGACCCCAACCATACAATTGTATTCATTGCTACTTCATAACTGTAATTTTGATACTGTTATGAATCATAATATGAGTTTTTATTCTTGGCGATAGAGGTTTGCTAAAGGGGTTGCAACCCTCAGGTTGAGAACTGCTGCTTTAGGGCTTCTTAACGATACTGTTTTCATATTCTAAAGACTAGCACAGTTTTTAGAATACTAAAAGGAGAATACTATTAGGAAGAGGTCCTAATAAATGTTAGCTTCTTATCTTTGTTATTATATTTGTTGGCACTGTATTCAGGTAGTAAGTTTTTTTTTCTTTCTTATTTTTAAGAATTATTTATTTTATGTATGTGAGTACACTGTCGCTGTCTTCAGACACACCAGAAGAGGGCATCAGACCCCATTACAGATGGTTGCGAGCCACCATGTGGTTGCTGGGAATTGAACTCAGGACCTCTGGAAGAGCAGTCAGTGCTCTAACCGCTGAGCCATCTCTCCAGCCCTTGTTTTTTCATTTATTGGGTGAGGTGGTTGTATAAGGGGAACAACCACACATGTAACATGTAACACACGTAACATGGCACTGACACATGGAGATCAGAGGACATCTTGTGTGGACATCTTCTCACCCGGGCTCCAGGCTCAGACTCTAGTCATCAGACTTGTACAAGGAACAGTTTTGCCCACTGAGCTGCCTCAGTAGACCATTTTCAGTTCTCTGAAGGAGATGTAACATAGCATTGGGAAGGCCTCCTTCTCACCATCGGGGGAGTGGGCTGCAACGTTGTCTTTATCAGGTAGCAGAGGTGTTCGGCAGCTTTCAGTTTTATTTACTTATTTCTGATTTTTTGAACCAGAGTCTCACTGGCTGTCCTGGAACTCCCTGTGTAGACTAAGCTGGCCCCAAACTCAGAGATCCTCCTGCCTCTGCCTCCTGAGTAATGGAATTACAGACATGTGCTACCATGCCTATGTAAATTTTTCTAAGTTTTATTCCTACTAGTTTTTAAATCCTGTGTAGGTGTGTATATCTGCATGTGGTTGAGTGCAGGTGCCCTTGGAGGCCAGAGGTATCAGATCCCCTAGGAGCTGGTGATATAGATGGTTCTGAGCCTCCTGACATGGGTGGTGGGAATCAAACACAGGTCCTCTGGAAGAACAGCATGTACTAACCACTGAGCTGTCTCCAGCCCAGCTGTAACTGCTAGGCAGCGTCAATCTTAAGATTCCTGCAGAGGTTTACTCATTCGGACTTGAAACCAGTCCTTACCGGAGCTCTTGGGAGAAAAGAAGTAGCTAAATAGACAGAATGTACATCGTTCAGATCCGGTTACACAAAGGTCAGTGTTGTCGAGAAATTTAAGCTGTGCCAGGTGTTTGCCTGCAATCCCAGTTCTCAGGAGGCAGAGCTAGGAGGCTAGCTTGGGCTATTGGTACAAGACTTGGTCTCAAAAACCAAGGGGGATGTGGTTTGAACGTGAAGTGTTTTCCCTGCATATACACGGCCCTGTGTTTTATCCCTGGCACCGTGCAGGTTACAGGCTGTTACATCTAGTTTGTTTCTTTGGGAATTTTAACTCCATATATTCTGTATTAGAGTCAAGGAGTTGTTTCATCACAACTGTTCTTTAAATGGTCCCTGGCAAGCGTTGTAGTCTCCGTTTCAAATGACTCCTGTTCGTGATTTGTTGTTTCTCTTGGCGTTTTATAGGAGTCCACTAAATGAAGATGTTTTTGCCACCAGAATAAAAAAGGCAGCCAATAACGACAAAGAAATAACAGAATTACAAGAGCAAATTCACAAACTTCTCTTGCAGGTAATGTGAGAGGTTTTTAAAAAGACGTCATTCCTCAAAGTGGGCTTCATGTTGGCTCAGTCTTAGTGAAGTCACTCTGCAAGAACACACCATGGGGAGAGAGGGGTCTCTTCCTCCACATCTCAGGCATTATTGCTTTTCTGTTTGCTTCTGTGGATTGAGATATGTTCCGCTTTTTCCTTATTCTGGGTGAGATGCATAGAACATTTGGACTGTGCTCACTTCCACACAGCAAACTGAGCTGCACCACAGGACAGACCCGTGCTCTCTTGATGAGAGAATGATTTTCCTTTTTCAGATGAGTGACATACTTGGTCTCAGTATCTCTTGTCTTTATAAGGGAAAAATAGGAAAATTACCTGTTGAAAAGAACAGCCAGTGTGGGGGTGGGGGCTGTATTAGTAAGTAAGCTGTGTGTCGTATAGCATGGAAGGCCAGCTTTTTTCAGAACTGTCTTTTATAAAATCTCTAGGGTTCGTGAAGTGTCTGAGGTTTTATAAAATCCATCTTTTTATTTCACATGTTCTGTCTATTCTAAAGAACTAAAGTTTAGCTGGGCAGCAGTGGTGCACACCTTTAATCCCAGCACTTGGGAGGCAGAGGCAGGCGGATTTCTGAGTTCGAGGCCAGCCTGATCTACAGAGTGAGTTCCAGGACAGCTAGGACTACACAGAGAAACCCTGTCTCGAAAAAGAAAAAAAAAAAACTAAAGTTTAATTTTTATTAAAGTATTTATGATTTTAGAAAAATCAGTTCGATTATGGCATCTAAAAGAACCTGAGGCCGTAATTCCCACCTAGACTGAAAAGTTAGGCTCTGCCCCAAGAACAGGAAAGCTCTGAGGAATGTCTTCCACCAGCAGCAGCAGCAGCAGCCCTCTGTACCCTCTGTAGTGTTTAGGAAGCTCTTAGCTTTGTGCTGACTGCAGACTAGAAACTCTGAGGTAAATGTCCTTACCACATGCAGAGCAGTGACTGAACCAGTCCCTTCCTCCTAGCCGGTTCACGCTAGTGCTTCCAGTGGCTACGGGAGCCTGGGCAGCAGCGGCTCACAGGAGCAGCACGTCAGCATCTCCTCTTCGAGTGAGTCAAGTGCACACTGTGCGGAGGAAGCTCAGCAGGAGCAGGTGTGTAGCAGATGTGGCCTTGTGCGGGTGCTGTGCTCTGAGCTGTGTCAGTGGCAGTCCTGCGTCTGGTGACATCTTAGGATTTGTTTGTCATTTACAGATTTCAATTTACTTTAGAAAATGGTTTGAATGAGTATAAATATCTAAAAGGAAAGTCTGAGCTAGGCTTGATGGCACACACCTAAGATTTCAGCAGTTGGGGTGAAAGCTAGAGAACAGAGTCCGAGACCAGCTGGGCTGCACAGTAACGACCCTGTCTTTAAGAGAGAGAGAGAGGGCTGGTGAGATGGCTCAGAGGTTAAGAGCACTGACTGCTCTTCCAGAGGTCATGAGTTCAAATCCCAGCAACCACATGGTGGCTCACAACCATCGGTAATGATATCTGATGCCCTCTTGTGGGGTGTCTGAAGACAGCTACAGTGTACTTACATATAATAAATAAATAAAAATTTAAAAAAAAAAAAAAAAAAAGAGAGAGAGAGAGAGAAATCACCTTTGCAAGGTGACGCTTGGATTCATTTGTTGCTTGTAGTTTTAAAATTGCTACCGCCTTTACCTGGGGTCTGCCTAACCCAGCTTGCCTTTCTACCTGCCTTAGCTCCAAGAGGTGATAATTCTACCAGCCCCTTCCCAGGACCCTCAAATCCGAGGATAAAAGACACACACACACACACAGCTTGTCACTTTACAGCTTGCCTTCTAGGCACAATTGCTGGTTGCAGATATCTCCCGCTTGGAAAAATGTGTTCTTACCAATTTATTATCTCCGTCTCTCTACTTGCCCTAAATTTCAGTGACTTGTTCCACCTAGCCCCTGCCAAACATCCTTGGCCACCCAACTATAGTGGAGGCCACAGGCCCAGCTCTCCCCAGATCTCACATAATTGCTGTGGTTTTTTTCCTCCAAAGCATAGCAGATAGCTCCTCTCCTCCCTCAAGTCTCCTTCTTCCCCTAGGACCCAGAAGTCCTGCTTGTACCTTCTGTCCCACAATTTGCCCTTGGACTTCTTTACTGACAAATCAAGAACCAACTGGGGAACAAGACTTTTGCATCAGAACCTCCCCTTACACTCAGTGTAGGCTTTTCTAAAAGCAGCGTAACATGAATCAATGGAAATACAGTTTGATTGGCCTCGGTGTATCATAGCACAGGAAGAATTGGATTAAAGCAAGGAGTGCTTTTAGTCATGTCTCAGGGAACCTGAAGTTCAGTGTGTATTGTATGGTTTTTAACACGCGGGCACAAACACACACACACACACACACTTTTCTACATTTTTAACCCTTACTTTATCATTCTTTTTCCCAAGATGACCCTGCAGCAGGTCTATGCCAGTGTAAACAAAATTAAGAATGTGGGCCAACAGCTCTACATTGAGTCGCTGGCCAGATCATCAGTGAAGCCAGTGATGGAGACGTGCGTGGACCTGCAGGGTGGTGGTGAGTCGGCAGAGTGGCCCCAGCTGCTCTCAGATCTGTCTCTTCACAGGAAGCAGCACGTTTGCACTCTGAGCAGACAAGGCTGAGGCCTGAGCTGCTTTCCAGCTTGCTGATTACCCAAGGAACAGGTAACAGTGAGATTCTGGCTGCACAGGAACATTCGGAAGTTAAACGGTTTAAATTATAGCTCAGGACATTTGAATAAAGAAGTAACTATTTTGATACCATCAGATTCTTAGTTTGTTTCCTTTCTGAGCTATTTAAGCCCCAAAGAAGTTAATTTTTAATACCTTTTCATGTAATAATGAACATTGAAATGATCCTGTTTTGTCATTTCAAACAAATGGAGAATGATCTAGACTAGTGGAAAACATTGACTTTTTAGTCTTTTCTCAGATGTGGGCTAACAGTGGTTGTTTTTTAACTTAACTAAGTCTTCTTTCACTTTTCTTCTTGAAGTTTAATACAATTTTAGAAATCATGGATTTTGATCATGTAACTTTTTTTTTTTAAAGATTTATTTATTTTATGAATGTGAGTACACAGTTGCTATGATCAGAAACACCAGAAGAGGGCATCAGATCCCATTACAGATGGTTGTGAGCCACCATGTGGTTGCTGGGAATTGAACTCAGAACCTCTGGAAGAGCAATCAGTGCTCTTAACCACTGAGCCATCTCTCCAGCCCATTGATCATGTAACTTTTATAACAGTATTTATCATTGTCAATGCAGAGCTTACTGAACAGAGTGACCATTTGCTTTCTAAGACCAGCGGTAATGGTAACTACATTGTTGAGGGTCTGTCGTGAGTTTGCATGAGTAGGAGCACTTGAGCGTAGACCCCTAAGACTCCTGGAAAAGCCATGCATGGCTGCATGTGCTGCTGAGGTGTGGGGACAAGCAGATCCCAGGGGTCCACTACCAGCCAGTCTACCCAGCATAGGGAGCTCCAGGTCCAGGGATGTCAAAAAATAAAGTAGAGAATTACAGGTACCCAAAGTTGACCTTTGATCTCAACTCACACATGCACAGATGAGTAACATCCCCACCCCAAAACGCAGATTACTATTCACATATTAAGTAGCCTTGGACATTGTAGACTGTTATATCAACGTTTCTGAGATTTCCAGGTTAATAGTAGAGACCTTTAACCCCTGCAATCAGGAGGCAGAGGTGAGCAGATCTTTATTGAGTTCAAAGCCAACCTGGTCTTCCTAGTGAATTCCAGGCCAGCCAGGGCTTCAGCATGAGACCTTGTCTTCCCTACAGTTTTTTTTTTTTCCTGAGATTGTAGTTTTCAAACAAAATGGTGTTTGTTCTCACAGTATGAAGAGGTAGGACGTCTAGGGTCAAGGTAGGGAAGGGACAGTATTCAGTGAGAGCCATGACTCTGCTTCTGAGAATGAGCTTGAATCCATGAAATCCTCCAAAGGAAGAGGAACAGCTCTCCCCATGTGACAGAAGAACAGACGGCAAGAAGAACTCCCCTGGTTTCCTCTCTTTATCACATGGTTTTTAGATGGAGCCTTGCTAATGTCACTTGGTTATCTCAAACTCCTGAGGTAAAATGATCCCTCTGTAACAGCCTCCGACACGCTAGGACTGAATGCATGTCACCACTTCCACCTTCTGTGGTTTTATAAGGTCCCTGACCCCCTTCACACAGGGATGCAAGAGTGTTTCCATTTTCTGCTCAGGAATAAATGAAGAGCATCACTCCACACTTAGAAGAAATCCACAACCTTTCTTTACCCACTTGGAGTCCTGAGGCAGCAGACAGCAGTTCTAGAGTCCAAGGAAAGACAGGCTTAGGGAACACATGAGCTGGAAACACTGGACTGCTGTGTTCTGACTTACTGATGCCAGCAACGTGCAAGACACAAATCCTCACTCAGATAAATGCTGAGATAGTGAGAGTGGAGCGGATACTCAGAACAACTCTCGAAACAGCCACCACTTACAGCACAGAATCTGGTTAGAGGAATTTGGGAGCTGAAGCATCCAAAAAACCACAATCACAGACTGCAAACCTGGCCTAAGTTTATGTCAACCCAAACACAGGCCTTCACAGGGAAACAGCTGCTCAGTCTCTGCTGTTCTGCACGGGCTTGTAGTTTACGGAAGGACAAGAAGGGGAAACTCACCTCCCAGGAGATAAAGGGGGCACTGAAAGAAGACTCAAAACCCAGCAGTGGAGATGCCTGACAAGGTAAAGTAACTAGGAATGGTATATCGCAAGGCTCTTGGCAAAGGGAGCAAGGCCAGCTCTGAGCAGGAACCGAGCAGAAGGGCCCAGTGAAACTGTTGGTAGGCTGGAGGTCCTGTGTATACCTGCTGCCTGTTTCTCCCTGAAGTATCTCAGTGATATAAAACGTCCAAACAACCCAAGTCAGAAGAGACTAGTGTTGACGTGTACTTAGGAACAAAGGTTTCAGAGAACCGAGACATGTAGAATGGCTGTCATCAACACAGCAGAAGAATCTGTACGCTCCAAGATAGATTGCTTCCGCTCTCACTTGGATCACCCAGGCTGAAGCAGAAACAGTTCCAGTCCAGGGGTCGCATCAAACTGTCTAATATGGGATTGATCGGGGTCCTAGAAGAAGTGTTTGAAGATGAAACAGTCAAGATCGTCTTCAGAATCAACATCAGTCTACATCTCTGAAGGCGGCAGGAGACAGGCAGGCACAGGCAAAACATAACAGTGCATCTCCAGAAACCACACACAAGACGACAGAAGATGGCATCTTCAAAGGAAAGATTGTCAACACAGAGTTCTGGTGGGAAATCCTTCAGAGTCAGATTTCTGAGTCAACTGAGACTTTGACAGCACATTTTCTACCAGAAATGCCAAGAAATTCCTTTTGTGTTTTAACGATTTAATGTGTGTGTGTATCTGTGCGTGTGTGTGTCTGTAACGTGCATACATGAGTGTGCATACACGCTTATGCACACATGAGTGTGTATGCCCATGGAGGCTAGAGGTGTTGGATTCCCTGGAGTGGGAATTATAGGTGGTAGTTGTAGCCACCCATCATGGGTGCTGAGAATTTAACTTCCTTCCTCCAGAAGGGCAGTACTCTCTCTTAACTGCTGAGCTGTCTATCTCTCCAGCCCCAGGAATTTCTAACCAGGGATGAAATATAATAAACAAAACCTATCTACACTAAGGAGTGAAAATTACTGGACAATGTGTAAAAGAAAGTCAGTTTTATTTTTAATTGATATGAAAGGTAACTGACTACAAATAGTACTCTTCATTGATGACATACAAGTAAAACATGGCAGCTCTATTGCCCATGCTGGGTGAGCTTTGAGGAGCACGCTGTCGTCGGCCTTTGCCTTTGAAAGAATGTAATATTCGAAGGTGACCCCTGAGTACTGTGTAAATTGGATGAAGGATGGTAGATGAACAGGCACTGTGACATAGTTAATCTATTGCTGACCTTAAAGCACTCGGGAAGAATCAGCTCTTTCTGTAGTGCTGAATCACTCAGTGCAGGACGGTGCTGGGCGGGTGGACAGTGTGGATACCCTGGGCAGGTGGACAGTGTGGATACCCTGGACAAGGGATGCCATACATCCCCTGTGGGAGGGAGCAGAACATCGAGGTTGTAGTACACAGTTTACAGTCGTGCAGTTTGACAGGAATAGTTAACATCTGCTTTACTGTTTGCACTTGACAAGTGACTGTAGGTAACTGAAACCATGGTGCTGGTGGTTATAGCCTTGCCTAGGGTGAGCAAAGCTCTGGGTTCAATCCTGTTCTCCAGAAAACTAAAAACTTCATACCCTGAAAACACAGGAAGCAAACCCAGCCACCAGCGATAGGGATACATACTGAGATTGAAAGGGGAGAGGAGCCGCCTACAGAGGGGTAACTGGGAGAATCCGTGCCCTCGACAAGAACCATAAGCATTAACCCCATCCCAGAATGTAGAGAGAACCCAAGGCTACAGGCACATAAACCTGCTAAGCAGGAATGACGTAACCATGCTCAAGGAGATGAGCTTAAGTAGTTTTAGAGAAGAAAAATGTATTTCAACTAGATGCCAGATACAGAATACTAATTTGCACAGAATCCGTACCCAGGTTGGTGGGTTTGTCAGCAGAGCTCTCAAGTCACTTTGTATGTATACTACAGTTGAACAAGCTGATTCAGACACTATAAAGTAGGCTAACAAGGTTTCCCACTACTGTAGAAGTTTTAAGTAATCAAAGGAGGAAGTCTGGAATAGATTGTCCTGAGCTGGAAGTAGAAGCATGTGGAAGAACTCAGGCATCCAGCTGGGTAGGTGGATGGACAGATGGACAAGGGTTCACATACAGACCTGTGTGATCAGCCCTGACCACTGAGAGAACTTAGAAGCGTAGACACATGCCTAACACCAAGATCTTGGTTGCTGGTTGTATGTTTTTGAACAGAAGGAACCAGGGCCAGAGGGTAAATATACTCAAGAGACAGACAGACAGACATCATAAGGGCACAGGGAGCAGGTGGCTTGGAAAAGCTACAAATTACTCAGGTTAGGCCAGTTTGAGTAACAAAACTCAGCATGATAGTGATGGTTTATAACCCAACAAACTGACATGTGTCTGTACTCACAAATGACTGGAAGACTAAGTCAAGACAGGGACCAGGTTACAGCAGAGTTAAGATAGGACCACCAGATTCACTGAAATCCTGGGCTGAATCCTGAAATAAAAGCTACAGTTAGGCCGGGCGTTGGTGGCGCACGCCTTTAATCCCAGCACTTGGGAGGCAGAGGCAGGCGGATTTCTGAGTTCGAGGCCAGCCTGGTCTACAGAGTGAGTTCCAGGACAGCCAGGGCTATACAGAGAAACCCTGTCTCGAAAAACCACAAAAAAAAAAAAAAAAAGCTACAGTTAGTGATAATGCAGTAAAAACGCAAGAAAAGTCTTCAATTCCGTGAAAGGCATTCCTCCACGGGGAATTTTATGGTTTATCACGTCACTGTGGAGTTAGTGGAAGCTCCTGGGAAGGATATGGGGAACAATGCTCCTACCATTCCTGTAGAGTAGAAATGAGGCTCTCTAAGAAGTCCTACTGAGGTAGGTTCTCCAGGCCTGCTAGAAGTGCTGTCACTAAGAACAGAAGCAGCAGAGGCCACAGGTCTGTCAGTCACATGACATAATCATGCGCTCCTTCCAGAACCTTACCATTCTTGCTAGCTGCAGCACTGCTTTGCAGGGCTTCCGTCTGCCGTGTTTTCTGTGTCCTGCCCTGGACTCTGTCCACTTTACGGGAGGTTCAGGTTCTCTAGCGCTCAGGCCTGGAGGCGTTCCTCTTCTCTCCACGCCTGTGCCACTAGCCACACTTGATAAGTTCAAGTTCAAATCAATACAGTACCATTTTATCATCCCTTGGTTGTGGTGGCCAGCATGTGGGACAGCAGGAACACAGCCATCAGTCACCACCGAGGCTCAGCACAGGCAATGCTGTGTGCTGCACCCTGCAGCACATGAGATGTGTGTGACACCAGTAATGGCAGTCCCCATGCCCTCTGACCAACTCTACGGGCATTCAGTACATGGGTGCTGCACACGGGGAGGGACACATGGCATCTAGGTGTCTTAACCAGTTGTAATAAGTAGTATTAGCCTGACACTGGGTGTCCCCCACCAACTTCTCATCCCATAGGTGCCTTGGTAATTCGTGCCTGAGATACATGCTTCACTTATTTTTAAAAATACCAGTGGAGTCATCGTGTGGAGCTTGCTTTTGATATTTACTTTACTGATATTTCTGTGTCGGTCATTTAGATCTAAGCTCACGTTTAATGATATTAAATGTACTGTGTGACACTGTATAAGTGTATGTCATGGGCTTACTACGACCTGCCGAATATTTTCTCACTACCTGCTAAACATTTGAATTGTATCTCCTTACAGATGAGCAGAAGGACTTTTCTTCCTCTCAGACACTGAAAAATAAAAGCATGGATACCGGCTCCAGCGGCGATCTGCAGCGAGAGCAGCACAGCTCGTCCTATCAGCAGATGAACTGTATCGACAGCGTCATCAGGTAAGAAAGGCAAGTCTCGGCGACGTCACTTTTAGGCAGAAGCCTAGTGAGCCACCGTGGAGCCGTGTGGCACTCTCAAAGCTCCCTGTTGATTTCCTGCTGTGCGTGACAGGTTTGGGTGCTCCATTTGGAGCTCTTAGAGCTGCCGGGGGCCAGTGGTACTGAGTCCCCTGTGTTAGCCACAGAGTGCTCATTACATACAGGTCACAGATTATGACCATTACGGAGGACACAGACGTAAGATGCTGCGTCTCAGGCGTGAGAGCTGGGGCATAGTTTAACACCTGAGCCGGTCAGAGCCGGTCAGAGTTCAATGGTGCGAGATGTGAAGGCCAGTTAAAGAACCGAGTGGAAGAGATAGTCTAAGCCCGGAACCCAGGCTGGGATGTTGAGGGCTGACCTCACCCAAGAAGAAAGGGCCGAGTCCCCCCTGCCTCAGTGACATAAGCAAAGGACAGCAGTGGGAGTGGCCTGGTGTAGCCAATAAGAAGACTCAGCCCAGTTCTGTTGTTGTAGGTACCTGACAAGCTACAGCCTCCCATCCTTGAAAAGAAAGTGCATCTCTTGCACAAACACGTCTTCATCCTCAGAAGAAGCCAAGCCAAACCCAGAGGCGGACAGTAGCCTGCGAGGTAGCAGGAATGAGTGTTTTGGGGTGGATGCCATTGAAATCATGAGTCCTGGTGTCGTCTTCCCTTAGGTGGCTGATGACTTAAATGGTCAGTCACTGACTTCTGTAAGCTTCCACTTAGCTCTTTTCACTCTCAGTTTCTCATCTATATCACCAGACACTGAACAGCTTCTGGACATATGGAAACAGGACACAACTGGACCATCCACAGATGCCGAAGGAGGTGCCTCACGGACCCTGTCCACCACTGCACTGAGCATGGCGTCTGGCATAAGCCAGTGCAGCTGCAGCAGCAGCACTGACCACTTCCCACCCCTACAGTCAGGTACCACTCTCTGCCTCTTGATGAGAAAAGAAACCGTTAATACTGTCTGCTTCATAACAATGTCTGTTTTAGCCACTTTTTTCTGTCATTTCAGTTAAGCTAATTAAGAAATGTCTTCATGTCTGTACGTGTTACAGGGTGCATTAAGTATGTTATTGGTTAATAGGATCAGTTGATCACGTGCAGCTCTTAGCACTGCTGGGGACAGTGGTGCTGAGGTCCTCTGTGTTCACCAGTATTAGTGTGGTTCCCTGGGGGGCCACATCAGGCCGTGTGTGGCGGTTGGTTGGTTGGTTGGTTGGGTTGTTGGTTGGTTTGGGGGATTGTATTTTACATGTATGGATGCTTTGCCTGCATATATGTATGTGCATCATGTGTGTGTCTGTTGGCCACAGAGGCCAGATGAGGGTGCCACGTCCCCGGAACTGGAGTTACAGGTAGATATAAGCCTCCGTGTGGGTGCTGGGACCCAAACCTGGGTCCTCTGCAAGAGCATCGTTCTTAACCTCTGAGCCGTGTCCCCAGCCCCTTTCATTGATCTTTTAAAAAGGTGTCTGTCACCTGTTGACTGTGTCCTGGCAACTTGATGAGTCACAGGCGTGTCCTTCTTCTTGTGTTGACTCGCTGGGTCATTGGACAGGCCCTTCCCAGCATTCTCACTCAGTAAGCTGCTCTGATCTTGATTGGCTGACTTTTTCACTGCCCCATGCCTTTTTGACTCTGGTTTTTCACGGTGACTTGGTAGGTGAAATGGCGACACATCTCTGACGTTAGGTGTTGGGGTTATTCCTGGCCCACCTTTGGTCGTCTTCTTCGCTGGTGCATCAGCTACAGTGTTGACGTGAGCAGTCGCTAGGGGAGCTCTGGTCGTCACTCTGGGAGCTGTGCTTGTCACTTTTCTCATTGCAGTGATGGAATTCCTGACTTCTACGACCTAAGGGGGATGGGGTGCTTTGGGTTATGATTTGAGGGTACAGACCAGCTGCCTCACCTCTTCTCTGTGATGGACAGTACTCACAACAACAAACACCTTCCCAACGAGATGCCCCACCCACTCACACACCCCAAATTGCCCTGACAGTGTAGATTTGCTCCAATCCTAAAGGCTAGCTCAGGTCTAATAAAATGGTTTTGGCCAATAAGAACATAGCCTGCTCCCTCACAGCTGTCTCCAGACCCTCCATCTCGGAGGCAGTAATGCTAACCTGGCCAGCTGGACCATGGTTAGTCTTCACTAGTCTTTGCTTCCTGAAAGCTTACTACCCAAGTTTCCAGCCTTCCCCTGTGATGAACTCCTGACAAAGATGTTGACAGGGCAGCCCTGCCTCCTTCATTACTTACAGGGACAGCTAAGGCCTAAACTCAACAAGTAACTTTTCCTCACTCAGTTGCCCATGAGTGGTAAGGAGGACATCAAATTGGTCCTCAGCAACTGTTTTCATTATAGGACCAGGGACTAATTAAGATGCAACATGAGACACAGATTTCCTTCAGCCAGTCCGTAAATTGAGGTGAAAAAAAGTTAAAAAAAAAAAAAAACAACTAAATTCAAAAGATGATTAGGAAATTTTAAAAAAGAAGGAAACCAGACTCCATTTTAGTTAAAATAGACTAAATACTGCAATTAAGAGGGAAAACGTGGGGTCTAGAGATAGCTTAGAGGTTAAGAGTACTGACTACTCCTTCAGAGGTCCTGAGTTCAATTCCCACCAACCACATGGTGGTTCCCAACCATCTGTAATGGGATCTGATGCCCTCTTCTGGTGTGTCTGAAGACAATGGCAATGTACTCACATACATATAATAAATCTAAAAAAAAAAAAAAAAAGAGGGAAAGCTTGGAGCCCGGCTTGGTACTATACCTGTAACCCCAGCATTTGGAACGTAAAGGCAGTAGGGATGTGAGTTCTAGGCCAACCTGGATTGTGTACTGATATACTGTCTCAAAACAAACAAACAAAAAGGCAAAAGTTGCCAGGATAGAAGCAGAGACCAGTAGCTGCCTGTGAGCTGTCTACAAAGTACAATTTAAGTTCACTCAGGAAGGACTGTGGGATGCTGGAAAGTGACTCTGCAGTTAAGAGCGTGTACTCCAGGTGTAAAGGACCCAGTCCTGTTTCCAACACCCACGTCAAGAGGCTCACAACTGCTTGTAACTCCAATTCCAGTATTTGCTTCTGGCCTCCCCAGCAACTGCACTAAGGGGCATAAGCTGTACTTAGACCTAGCACAGCTTTAAAGTAAAAAAAAAAAAAAGTGAGCCGAGAGGAAATGGGTGGAAAGGATACAGAGATCAAACGAGTGTCAAGGCATGTGGGTGCTTGCATTGATACAGGGAAACAGTTTAAGATGGCCCTGTCAGCCGCTCTTCATATGGGAAGGCTGGCAGGTAGTAGTGTGTATTCACTAGTCATGGAGCTTCCAAAGATAAGAAGTAAAAAGGGTAAGACTCAAAGAGAAAATAGACTTTCCACAGGCTGGAGAAGTTAGGTCTGTTTTGTCCTCCCAGCCCCATGCTCCCAGAAATAAGACTCAGACTCAAAACATATTTACAAACACCTTGGCCATATAGCTAGGCTCTACTCTGACTAGATCATAACTAAAATAACCCAACTATTTTAACCTAGATTCTGCCACTCTCCTGGACTCTCCAGCCTCACCTCTTAGGGAGTTGATTAGACTCCCTCCGCCTGAGGCTCAGGGCCCTGAAACTTTTATTTTGTAATTGTGTCATTGTGTTCATTGTTTGAGGCAAGAAAGTCAGTCTGGTCCCTGATGCTCTGCTGGCCACCGCACTTAAGTCGACTCAAACCAAGTCAGAGCCCAGTTCTGGAAGTGGCTTGGGTCCAAGCCTAGGCAGACTACCTGGGTATTGCATAGCTTTGAGAGGTGGGAAGGGTATGAAGAAACCCAGCACAGTGCCAGCATGATCTCTACTCTTGAAAGCAGCAACTCTAAAAACAACTGAGAATCCACATACGGGCACATGCAGTGCATGCAGCTTCCATGCGAGAGAAGCAGATGCACTGCTGCGGGGAAAGAGGATGAGAGCTGCTCCTGCCCTGTGTCTGTGCACACAGGACTAGCAGGGCAGAAAAAGAACGGCTTTCATGGGGAGAATGGAGAGAAGCTGGGCAGATCGTGGAAGGCACAGGAAGAATGTGCTAAACTGATTTTTAAAACCTGGTGTTTGAATCCCGAAAGTATGTTACCTGTTTTGAAAAATCACCTGAGCCAAGGACAGTGGTGCATGCCTTTAGTCCTGCTCTCAGGGAGGCAGAGGCAGGCGGATCTCTGAATTGAAGGTCAGCCTGGTGTGCTTAGCAAGTTCAGGACAGCCAGGGCTACACAGAGTAACTTCATCTCTAAAAGCAAATAGAAATTCAAAAGCTAGATGTGACAGCACACACTTGTACTCCAGTGCTCCAGAGACCAGCGACCTTAAGGCAGGGGTTAGTTAGGAAACCCCAAGCTCTAAATTCTAAATTAATAGATTTTTGACTAAAAATCTAAAATTGTAAAGATGTAGAAAATGTTTATAAATCAAGCTCTAAATAGCATCTGTATATTATTACAATCATAAAATAACATATATGTAAAGAAAGATAAGAATTTTTACACTGTACTGATGACGTTTTTATATTCCAACAGTTATGTTTGTAGAAATGCATTGAAGGGGAGTGACAAAATAAAAATAAACAGTTGCTATTAGTTATAATTAATTCTGTTTTCTGTGACCCAGCAGAAAGTGTTGCCGTAGCGTGTAAGCCCTGGGCCCTGAGAACGAAGGCCTCGCACCTGACTGCAGGAGGATTTAAGCACGTGGGGCTCACAGCGGCTGTCCTCTCTGCACACACACAGAAGGAGGAGCAGAGCTATGTCGACAGGTTCCGGGAAAAGATCCTGACCTCACCCTACAGTTGTTATCTTCAGCATGAAAGCAGAAGCCGTGCTAAGTACTCCTGTGTTCAAGGTAGCTGCGTTTACAGTACACCCCTTACATCTTAGATTATGGTGATTCATACACAGGCTGAACTGTCGTCCTGTGTCAGTAGGAGATTGCTTCCAGGAAGAACTACCAGACACGTAAATCCACGAACACTCAAGGCCTTCGTGTAAAAGGGATAGAGTGTTTGTGCGTGACCTACTCAGGCTTTCCGTGTCCTTATCTCTTATCTAACACTTAGCACACTCTTTATAATTGGAGATGGGAATGTCTGTATGCGTTCACTTGAGCAGTGTTTTTTTCTGAGTGTTTTCAGTCCGTAGTTAGCCGGGTGGGCAGCTCTGGCCCCTGTGTCTGCAGGGCCAGCTGAACCCTGGAGAAGGGTGCACAACGGATGAGTCACTTACTCCACAGTTTATGAAGGAGCTCTATCTAATAAGAGTAAGAAGAAACCGGTTAAGGTGCTGGATTTGCTTGATTTTAGAGCGCTAATTTTTACCTAGAACTTTTGTTGATTTGGAACAACGTTTTGTATTTGTAAAAGTATTGGCAAATACTTGCTTCATGAGATAATACTTACAGTTACCTGCAATGACTTTCTCCTCATGTTTTACTTTTTCTGTAACATGCCTCCGTCTTTATCATCAGCAGGGTCCACCCCTAAGCACAGCGGATGTGCGGGAAGTGAGAGACGGAAGCATAAACGGAAGAAACTGCGGACGCCTGTGGACACCGGAAGCTCCAGTGCCCGCCTCTGTCCCCATGTCAGAGGACTCCTTCCAGATGAGCAGTGCTGGAACCCTTCCATCCTCCCCTCTCCCCATGCTGCAGGCCTGGCTTTCCCCTCTGCCCTGCTAGTTCCCAGCCAGACACCGTATCTCCTTCCCTCTTTTCCCTTCCAAGATACGGCCTCTCAGGGAGTAGGGGATTGTGCAGCCCGGGGAGCTGCAGCTGCATGTCCGCCTCTGTCCCCTGGCCCTCAGTCTGTCCCCGAGTTCCCGCCTGCTTACTTGGATACTTTGATGGCGGTCTTCCTGCACAGCGCCCCTCTCTTTCCTCTGTGGCCGGCATCATCCTCTCCGTATCCGTTCCTGGTGGAGACAGGTTCTTCTGAACTGGCGCCCTTAGTACCAGCAACGGCTCCAAACCTGGAACCAACCTCTTCAGACCAAGGCCAAAGGAGAGTGGAGGAGAATTGGGAGGCACACGGTGAAGAGCTTCCGTTCATTAGCTCACGGAGCAGTTCACCACTGCAGTTAAATTTACTCCAGGAGGAAATGCCTGCACCGTCAGAGTCTAAAGAAGCCGTGAGGAGGGGCGCTGGCCCAGATGCTAAGCACGTGAGTGCTGCTCTCTGTACCCAAGGGCCTGAGAAAGCCGGGGTCCTCTAACCAATCCAGGGTTCCTCACTGTCAGCCTCGCCATAGTGGGCACTCAGCCCCCTGCTGTGGTTAGGACTGAGCTCTGCTCTGTGTGAACGAGAAGTGTGTCCCTGTCCACTTGTGGACTGGAGACAAAGGAGTCTTCTGTTCTTGGTGCTTAGTGAGGGTTTTCACTGATTCTGTCTTTCAAAAACAATGTTTGTTTGTTTGTTTGTTTGTTTGTTTGTTTGTTTGTTTTAGACAGGGTTTCTCTGTGTAGCCCTGGCCGTCCTGGAACTCACTCAGTAGACCAGGCTGGCCTTGAGATGTAGAATTCACGCTTTTCTGTTTATACGCATAGCGCAGGAGCATGTGGATAAGGTAGGAGCCTGTGTTTGGCATAATCAGAAAGAAGCCAGCTTTTCCTTCCATGGTTATACATGTCATTTTCAAAAGTGAAAAATTTTAGGGAAATTATTTTGAACTTTCCAAATTCTTTACTTAGAGAAGCACTTTGAGATTTATCTGTCAGATTAAACTTCAGAGTCCAGCATTCCTGCATTTCAGTGTAGAATAAAAAAATAAGTGTTGTATGTTATGCGTAGGAGTGGGGGCAGGCCTGAAGAGGTAGCTGGGTCTCCTGGAACTGGAATTCCAGACAGTCATGAGCTGCCGAGTGTGGGGGAGGTACCAGACCCAGGGCCCCTGAATAGAGCTAGGGGAGCTAGGAAGTAAGACAGCGGCTCAGGAGCTGGATAAGCAGTTCAATGGTTCGAATGCTCGCTGTGCAGTCACGAGGGCCAGAGGAGAGCCCAGCACGTGCATCAGCTGTCCCTCAGACCCTTCTAACTCCAGCTCCAAAGGACCCGAAGTTCTTATCTGGCCTCTTCACCTGCAAACACGTAAACACCTGTACATGCAGACATAATAAATATTTTGAATTTAAGTACATTTTATTTACTGTTGGGGTGGATACTCATGAGCCACAGTGTCCATGTGGAGGTCAAAGGTCAACTCTGGGGACTTGGTTCTCTCCTTACAATTTGGGTTTTGAGGATCAAACTCAGGTCATCAGGCTTGGAAATAAGTGCCTTCACTTGGTCTTGCTGACCTAATATAAATCTTAAAAAAATATATAGCGACTTTGGTTTACATGGGAGCTCTGTCACTAGTGAGATGGCTAGCTTCAGGGGTACATTCAATTTGGCTTATGTGCCTTCACGAGAAAGCTGGAAAGATGCCTGTCGTGAGGACTGAAGGATGCAGTATTTGCATGGTGCTTCACCCTGGGCAGCCTGCCTTCTCAGAGGACTGGGACTTCGTTTCTCCTGCTACTATATTCCTAGCATTGTATGTGCTTAGAACAGATAAAGTATCCATGTATGCTTACCCAATGGCAGAGGCGTATGGAAGCCCACCCTTGTGTGGCGCCTGGCATGCAGCCAGGGTTCAGAACATAGTAGTTCCAAAGGAACTTTAAGCATATTCTTGACACCGGCCCCAAGCATCTTCACTCCTCACCTACGTATGTGACTCTCATTCCACTCAACAGGTCAAGTTGACGAGCTGCCTGCTGGCTAGCTCTTGGAGTATTAAGTACCTTTGTGTCCTCCCTTCCAGCACTGTGTTACAGGTCACAGTGGCGGTCAGAGCTGTCACTGTGCCACTGGTGAGCTGGCTATAGCAGCAGTACAGCAGGAGTCTCCGTCTGCAGCTGCCTCAGGTAGGTGACCAGGAAAAACAGCCTCTCAGTTACCAGATCACTCCGTCCAAGGCCTTGTAGCTTGGACACTGGCATAGAGAGGAAGTTTTAGGCTCCCTCCCCCCTTCTTTTTGTAGGCTTCCTTTTGGGCAGGTTTATATTTGACAAAACTGACGTTGATATAACTGTCACAAGCACTTAGAATATTCCTGTTGCTCTAGAAAGTTCTTCTGTAACCATTTACAGTCTATAAGTTACTTTTCTCATTGCTGAGACAACATCTGACTGAAGCAACTTACAGGAGGAAGGATTTACTTGGGCTCATGGATCTCTGGGTACAGTGTATTGCTGCAGGGAAGGAGTGGAGGCTAGACCATCATAGTCTGAGGTGGGGGGACCTCAGCATAGCAGACAGGAAACAGCTCAGACCTGAAGTGAGGCCATGTTTTAACCTTCAAATTCCTACCCCCTAGTGACCCACCTCTCAAGCATCCTGTCCCAAAGGGTCTACCACTTCCTGGAACTCTGCCACCAACAGGGGACCAAGTGTTTAAATGTGTGCCTATGAGGGTGTTTTATAGACAGACTGACAATCGACCTCTGTCCTGACACGCTGGTGTCCTTTCTACCACTTCAGTTACTGTAGTGCAGTGTGAGAGCTTCTTGCATTAAGAGTCTCTCAGGAGTGCTGTTAAGATTGATCCTCATATGTATTGGTAGTCTTCCTTTCTGTTGCTCAAGAGGATTTCTTTGTATGGATAGTTCCTGGGATTCCATTGTACAGATGGTTACCAGGCTGTCTCTGCCCTGGGCCTATGATCAGTAATGCCATGAGCCATTTGAAATTGTAAGGTCATTTGGTAAGTATCTGGTTAATACCTTAAGAAGCTGTCACTGCTGAGATGGACAGGTAGGCACCAAAGTTGAAACAGGACCTCTCTAGCAAATGAACTTCTGACGGGTATTTTCCACTTTGTCAATCTTTGGCAGGAAGCAGTGCCAGCAGTCTATACTTCAGTAGCAGTGACTACGCTTCTGAAGTCTCTGAAAATGGACAGAGGTCACAGGATGGACAGAGAGACGAAGCCTTTCCCGGGGCGGCTGAAGAGTCCATCTGGAGAATGATAGAACGGACGCCAGAGTGTGTTCTCATGACATACCAGGTGCCTGACAGGTACAGAAGTACTCTGCAAACCCTGCCTAGTGCTTTGATGAGTATCTCTTAATTCTGAACATTTCATATTACTGTCATTTATTTTGATGCGTGTTTACATGTGAGTGTGTCATGTGGAAGCCTGTTCTCACTGTCTAGTATGTGTGTCCCAGAGATCAGACTCAGGCTTGGTGAGAGGGGAAGCACCTTCCCAGTTGTGGTGTGTATGTAAGGACAGCGTTCTGTCTGTCACACTTGCCCAGAAGTGGCTATCTCTTTCAAGCCATCACACTGGCTGTCCTTTTGGTTTCTAACATGTTTTTTCTACATAAAATGAATTTTTAAATGTTTTAGATACAGTCATAGAAAATGTGTCTACAAATTGTGTTCATTTCAATTCAAGCAACAAATGATTCTTGAAGGAAAAATTGCAGCCACACATGTGCAGATCATACAGAACAAACATGCTGTTCACCACAACCAGGACATGAGCACCCAGGCTACCCTTCAGGATGCACATGCTCAAGACGTTTGCTTTGGCCCTGGCAGAGGGGACTAGGGGAGTGCATTTCCTGATGTGCTTCATTTAAGCATCAGCTTTCCACCAAGAAGCAAAGGTTTGCCGTGTCAGTGTGGCAGACAGTCTGGGTGTGTCACAAGTTAGCAGACGAAGTACGTCGGCATTGGGGGGAAATGAGGCACTCAGAGGCCTTCTCGGTCTTAGGGGTAGAGACGAGGTGCTGAAGCAAGACCTGGAAAAGCTTCACAGCATGGAACAGCAGCAGCCCCAGTTCTCACCTGCCCAGAAGGAGGAGCTGGCCAAGGTGCGCTCCTGGATCCACAGCCACACTGCCCCTCAGGACAGACACCTCAGGTAAGCATGCCATCCCTCACATCATGACTGTCCTGTGCCAGGCAATGGGTGTCCTTCATCTAAACCATTGCCTGTGTGCTTTAAATACAAAGTGTGCATGTGTTAAGTAATTAGTACAATGTGTGCTGGGTTTTGAATATAGGTCTTTTTTTTTAAGAATTATTTATTTGATGTATATGAGTACACTGTCACTGTCTTCAGACACACCAGAAGAGGGCATCAGATCCCATTACAGATGGTTGTGAGCCACCATGTGGTTCCTGGGAATCGAACTCATGACCTTTGGAAGAGCAGTCAGTGCTCTTAACCACTGAGCCATCTCTCTAGCCCTGAATATAGGTCTTTTTAACACTGTGAAGTTTCCTAGGAGAAGCATAAACAAATGTCTGCCTGTGGGTCCCCTGTTCCGGAGGGTATCCCACAACGATCTCCCGGCTGGGGACAGAGTGAGAACAGGGAGGGTCCACTACTGTCTCTGCCACTGCCTCCTCCACTGTCGCTTGGTCACTCCCAGGTCTATAGTGACAGTCTGCAGTGAGGGTCTACAGTGATGGTTTATAGTGACAGTCTGCAGTGACAGGTCTACAGTGAGGGTCTGCAGTGAGGGTCTGCAGTGGGGGTGTACAGTGGGGGTATGCAGTGCAGGTGTACAGTGCAGGTGTGCAGTGGGGTCTGTAGTTGGGGTCTGCAGTGGGGATGTGCAGTGAGGGTCTGCAGTGAGTGTGTACAGTAAGGGTGTACAGTGAGGGTGTGCACTGAGGGTCTCCAGTGAGGGTGTGTAGTGAGAGTCTGCAGTGAGGGTGTGCAGTGAGGGTGTACAGTGAGGGTGTACAGTGAGGGTCTGCAGTGAGGGTGTACAGTAAGAGTGCAGTGAGGGTGTACAGTGAGGGTGTGCAGTGAGGGTCTGCAGTGAGGGTATACAGTAAGAGTCTGCAGTGAGGGTCTGCAGTGAGGGTCTGCAGTGAGGGTCTGCAGTGAGGGTCTGCAGTGAGGGTCTGCAGTGAGGGTCTGCAGTGAGGGTCTGCAGTGAGGGTGTGTAGTGAGGGTCTGCAGTGAGGGTCTGCAGTGAGGGTCTAGTGACTCCCTACCCCTTTCCTGTAAAGGAGTGTCAGCAGTCCCAATCTTAAAGGTCTCTTGTGAATAGCCACAGTGTTTTCCTTATGTGTGTGAAACAGCATTCCGCAACCATGACGAAACAGTTCTCTTCCACCTGTTGGAATGTTTAGGGTGATAGAGACACTTCCCTGCAGTATGACCAACTGAGGGGAAATACGGAGATACATGGTTCAAATATACATCCCTCTTTAAAAAGCTTCAATCCACAATGTAAGAAAGGCCCACACTGAAGGAAGCTTTCTCACCCCACGGGGGCTCTTTATCCATTTCCTTCTGCTTGTTGACGCACAGAGAACCAAAACCCAGAAACCCAAGTCATCCTATGTGTTAGTGTCCTAGGTTGTAAATCATGGACCAGCAAGCCAGGGCTGTAACAGTACAGCCTTGAGTTCCCATCCTTCTGAGCCAGCCTGCAGTATCCCTTCATCCCTTAGTGTTCAGTTGTGTGTAGCACTGCCTGTCTGCACACCTGCATACATGTGTGGTACCCACAGAGGCCAGAAGAGGGCACCAGATCCCCCAGAGCTGGAGTGAGGAGTAGCTGTGAACTGATGCGTATGCTATGAATCTAACCAAATTCCCGTGCAGCAGCCAGGGCTCTAACCACCCAGCCATCTCCAGTGCTTGCCACTTCTTCATCACTGCATCATCTACAGCACTTCTTACACTGCAGAGAGGGTGACAGCAAGCCCCACCCCCACCCCCAGCCTTTGATTTTGTGGATTCCTCCCTTACTTTTTAAGGAGTTTTTCCAGATAAATGACTCTTGGTGGAAGTTTCTTTCTGTAAGCACTTTGGCTGTATGTGCATTCTGTCTTCTGGCCTCCAGAGTTTCTGCTGAGACATCTGCGGACAATCTTCCAAGAATCCCGTGTATGGCGTGTCCTCTCCTGCTTTGGTTCAGCTGGTTATGATGTGTCTGGGTGTGTGCATCTGAGAGTGTGCGTCTGAGGGCGTATGCGTCTGAGGGCGTGTGCATCTGAGGGCGTGTGCATCTGAGGGCGTGTGC